AACGAGCCAACCCAGGCACCCCCCTTTTTAAAAAATTTTTAAAATGTTTATTTATTTTTGAGAGAGAAAGAGAGAGATAGGCAGAATGCAAGCAGGGGAGGGGAAGAGAGGAAGGGAGACACAGAATCTGAAGCAGGCTCCAGGGTCTGAGTTGTCAGCACAGAGCCTGACGTGGAACTTGAACTCATGAACTGTGATACCATGACCTGAACTGAAGTTGGATGCTCAACCGACTGAGCTACCCAGGTGCCCCCAGTTTTGTTTTTATTTTTCAAGATATCTTTGGCTATTTAGAGTCTTTTGTGGTTCCATACAAATTTTAAGATTATTGTAGTTCTGTGAAAAATGCTGTTGGTATTTTGATAAGGATTGCATTTAATGTATAGATTGCTTTGGGTAGTATAGACATTTTCACAGTATTTGTTCTTCTAATCCATAAGCATGGAGCGTCTTTCCATTTCTTTGTGTGTCTTCAGTTTCTTTCATCAATATTTTATAGTGTTCAGGGTACAAATCTTTCACCTCTTTGGTTTAGTTTGTTCCTAGATATTTTATTTTTGGTGCAATTGTAAATGAGATTATTTAATTTTCTTTCTGCTGCTTCATAATTAGTGTATGGGAATGAAAAAGATGCCTGAACATTGATTTTGTATCTTGTGACTTTACTCAATTCATTTATCAGTTCTAGGAGTTTTTTGGTGGAGTCTTTAGCGTTTTCTATATATAGTATTGTGTCATCTGCCAGTAGAGTTTTACTTCTTCCTCACCAATTTGGATGCCTTTTATTTCTTTTTGTTGTCAAATTGCTATGGCTGGGACTTCTAGTACTATGTTGAATACAAGTGGTGAGTGTGGTCATCCTTGTCTTATTCCTGACCTTCAGGGGACAAGCTCTCTGTTTTTCACCATTGAATATCTTGTTGGCTATGGGCTTTTCATATATGGCCTTTATTTTGTTGAGATATATTCCCTCTGGACCTACTTTGCAGAGGGTTTTTATCATGAATGGATGATGTTCTTTGTCAAATGCTTTTCTGCATCTGTTGAAATGATCATAATGGTTTTTATCTTTTCTCTTACTGATGTGACATACCACGTTGATTATTTTGCAGCTTATAAACTACTCTTGCATCCCAGGAGTAAATCCCACTTGATCGTGGTGTATGATTTTTTTAAATATATTTTTGAATTCAGTTTATTAATATTTTGTTGAGGATTGCATCCATATTCATGAGAGATCTTGGCCTGTAGTCTTTTTTGTGGTGTCTATCTGGTTTTGGTATCAGGGTGATACTGGCTTTATAGAATGAATTTGGAAGTTTTCCTTCCTCTTGTATTTTTTGGAATAGTTTGAGAAGAATGGATATTAGCTCTTTTTTAAATGTTTGGTACAATTCACAGTGAAGCTGTCTGGTTGTGGACTTTTGTTTGTTGGGAGTATTTTGATTCCTGATTCAATTTCATTGTTAGTGATTGGTTTGTTCAAATTTGTATTTCTTCCTGCTTCAGTTTTGATAGATTATATGTTTCTAGGAATTCATCCATTTCTTCTAAGTTGTCCAGTTTGTTGGCATATAGGTTTTCATAATATTCTATTACATTTGCTTTTATATCTATGGTGTTGGTTTTTATTTCTTCCCTTCTGTTAGTAATTTTGTTTATTTGGGTCCTCTCTCATTTTTTAAAGGAATCTTTCTAGAAACTTATTCCCTGGCTCTTTAAAAATTATAATAATGTGCATGGTAAAAAGAATTGCAAGTGAGGCTTAAGAAATTAAATTAGGGGTGTCTGGGTGGCTCAGTTGGCTAAGTGTCAGACTTTGGCTCAGGTCATGATCTTGCAGTTTGTGAGTTTGAGTCCGGCATCGGGCTCTCTGCTGTCAGTGCAGGGCCCACTTAGGATCTTCTGTCCTCCTCTCCTGCCTCCCCCATAAAAAAATGAATAAACATTAAAAAAAAAGAAACTAAAATAAATGAAAACTAGTCTCATCCCACGGAAATAACTATCTGATGTATAGTATTCTAGAGTGCTTTAGACATTTTTCTAGGCATTTTACAAATATGCATGTAGTTTTATTCTTGTTGTTTTGTTTAATGAATTATTATACCATTATTTCTATAACTTTCTTTTTGCATTTAACAATATAAAGTATTTCATTTCTTCACTTTTGTGTCATAGAAATTTACTCATTTTTTCAGACTATATAATATTCAACAATTGGAATGGACCATAGTTCCTCCATTCCAGTTTTTATTTATTTCTGAGAGAGAGATAGAGTGTGAGCAGAGGAGGGGCGGAGAGAGAGGGAGACACAGAATCTGGAGCAGGCTCCAGGCTTCGAGCTGTCAACACAGAACCCAGCGTGGGGCTCCCAACTCACAAACCATGAGATCATGACCTGAGCCGAAATCAGACACTTAACCAACTTCTTCCTTACCAATTTGGATGGCTTTTATTTCTTTACGTTGTCGAATTGCTATGGCTAGGACTTCCAGTACTATGTTGAATAAAAGTGGAACTCTTTTGCACTGCTGATAGGAATGCAAACTGGTGCAACCACTCTGGAAAACAGTATGGAGGTTCCTCAAAAAATTAAAAATAGAACTACTCTATGACCCAGCAATTGCACTACTAGGTATTTATCCAAGGGATACAAGAGTGCTGTTTCGAAGGGGCACCCCAATGTTTATAGCAGTGCTATTGACAATAGCCAAAGTATGGAAAGAGCCCAAATGTCTATTGACTGATGAAGGGATAAAGAAGATGTGGTGTATATATATACAATGGAATATTACTCGGTGATCAAAAAGAATGAAGTCTTGTCATTTGCAACAACGTGGATGGAACTAGAGGGTATTACGCTAAGCAAAATTAGAGAAAAACAAATATATGACTTCACTCATATGTGGAATTTAAGATACAAAACAGATGAACATAAGGGGAAGGAAGGAAAAATAATGTAAACAGGGAGGGGGACAAACCATAAGAGACTCTAAAATACAGAGAACAAACTGAGGGTTGCCAGCAGGGTGTTGGGTGGGGGGAAGGGCTAAAGGGGTGAGGGGCAATAAGGAAGACACTTGTTGGGATGAGCACTGGGTGTTATATATAAGTGACAACATCTGTTGTTGCCTGAGTTAATTTTAGCCATTCTGACAGGTATGAGGTCGTATCTCATGTGGCTTTGATTTGTATTTCCCTAATGCTAAGTGATGTTGAGCATTTTTTCATGTGTCTGTTAGCCATCTGGATGTCTTCTTTGGAAAAGTGTCTAAACATGTCTTGCCCATTTCTTCACTGGATTATTTGTTTTTTAGGTGTTGAGTTTGATAAATTCTTTATAGATTTTGGATACTAACCGTTTATCTGATATGTCATTTGCAGATATCCTCTCCCATTCCGTCCATTGCCTTTTAGTTTTGCTGATTGTTTCCTTCACTGTGCAGAAGCTTTTTATCTTAATGAGGTCCCAATAGTTCATTGTTGCTACTTGTTATTTTTATTTTACTTTATTTTTTTAATGCTTACTTTTGAGAGAGAGAGAGAGCAGGGGAGGGGCAGAGAGAGAGAGAGAGAGAGAGAGAGAGAGACAGAATCTGAAGCAGGCTCCGGGCTCTGAGCTTTCAGTGCAGAGCCCAATGTGGGATTCAAACCTACAAACTGTGAAATCATGACCTGAGCCGAAATCGGATGCTTAACCGACTGAGCCACCCGGGCACCCCTGCTGTCTGATTTTTAACTAATGCTGTTTTTTCCTCCTATAAATAATTTATCGAGCATTTGTAGTGCCTAGGGCACCATGCTAGGCCCTGAGGCAGAATAATCTTTTTTTTTCAATAGGATGCCTATTTAAACTAATAGTCATTTTCCTGCTTCTCAGAACCTTGGATTTACTGACTTGTACCAGAAACTAGAACATTCTCTAGAAACTTTTGTGTGTTCTTTAAATAACATACAATAGCTAAATGATAGCTGTTGATGTATAAAACTTTACAAGTTCTCTCTCCGAAGCTGTGTCCGGAATATAAGTGTAACGTTGAAAATATGGCATTTAGGTTACCAAAATACCTATTGAAGCTTTATGATAAATATTTGAAATTCAGTGTTTTGGTAAGTTTTGAATTATTGTGTTTTGTTATCTTTTGAAGTGGGAAATGAATGAGCTGTTTCTAATCGACTTTATATTCTGGGTAATCTACAATGTGTATATTGCACTGTAGTTCATAGGTAATGCTATTGGCTAGTTCCTGGAAACTCTCAAAAAAGAATCTTCACTCTCTCTTGTATTAGAAAAAGCTACAGCTTCCTTTATTTGCCACACGATGGCAGTCTTGCATCTTAAATTAGGTGAAAGGTAGTCCAAGTTAATAGAGGTTCACATTTTCAGGATGTTTGTTGCCAAAAATCTAAACATTGGTAATTTTCAACCTGGAAGCTAGTTATTTTTAAGGTTCATTTGCAAGCCAACCCTTTGCGCTTGAAACATATTTTCTATGGAACGATGCTACAAATGCTGGGTAGGTTTCTAAATTAACCTAACTTATTTAACCTTAAGTCCCAATTTGTTCTTTGACTTGTTTCACACTTTACCTTGTAATTTTTAAAACTATTTAAAAAATTGTTGGGGCGCCTGGGTGGCTCAGTCGGTTAAGCGGCCGACTTCGGCTCAGGTCATGATCTCACGGTCCATGAGTTTGAGCCCCGCGTTGGGCTCTGTGCTGACAGCTCAGAGCTTGGAGCCTGTTTCAGATTCTGTGTCTCCCTCTCTCTGACCCTCCCCTGTTCATGCTCTGTCTCTCCCTCTCTCAAAAATAAATAAAACGTTAAAAAAATTTTTTTTAATTGTGGAAACTTTTACACATCAATATTATAGTTTACAGTTTTAAAAAATTTGTAATATAGAGAAATGTAAGAAAATAGATGTATACATTATAAATTTGGGGTTTTGGCTTTTCTTATATTTTAATTTTCAGATGTCCTTTCTTTCTCTAAATTTTTAGCTTCAGTTGTGGAGGGTCAAAAGGGTATCATTCCTCGAGCTATCCAAGAAATATTTCAAAACATCTCTGAAAATTCTAGCACTGACTTTAATATCAAAGTGTCTTATATAGAAGTATATAAGGAAGACCTAAGAGATCTTCTAGAATTGGAAACATCTATGAAGGATCTTCACATCCGAGAAGATGAAAAAGGAAACACAGGTAAATAGCATTGACTGCCTTCATTACCAAAAAGATGTGATTTAATTCAGTTTCTGGATATATTGCAAAGAATCTTTAAAACAGACATAGAAGCAAAAGGAATTTGTTTTTTCTTTAAAATTGAATACCTTTTTGATTCCCAATATCCATTAAATCACCCAGGTGAAAAGTAGTTCAGACTGGTTGGTTAGATGAAGTTAGTAAGTTGTAATTCAAGATACTTATATTCTATAATTGTTCCCGCTCTGGGCTGAAGATCAGTGAGACTTTGAAATAGGCTAAATTAGTATTTGTACTTTTTTTTCTCCCAGGGTTTCTCCCAGATTGGAGATGGCTCCTCCCTTTGGTGTTTGTCCAAGTTGATCTAGAATTCTCCTTTTGTCCTCTTTGATTTTGTCCTGTACTTTGTTGTATTTTTCAAGATCTGACTTTCTATGCTAGCAACTTGTTAATCTCATTAAATATCAATTTGTTTGGAAATGGGAGAAGGTTCGAATGGGTCAAAATGCAAGTATTTTAAAGAATAGCACCTCCTGCTTTTCTGATTTAAAGGGTTATATGTTCAACATAGAACATTTTGAAAACATAGAAAAGTTTAAGGAAGAAAGTTATTAAAGATCAGCTTTAATCCCAGAACCCAGAAAAAGTAACTTCTGTTTTTGGTGTGTTTCCTTCCAGATTTCTTTTCCCATGCATGTATAATTTTTTTTAATATACTTGCAACCCTACATATAGCATCGCATCTTATTTTTTCATGTAATATTTATATGGTGAGCATTTTCACACAACATTAAATATTTCTCAAAGTTATGAGTCTTCATGGTCATGTGGTAATTTGTCTTCTAAATGTATTATACTTTAATATTCCATTGTTGGACATTTAAGCAGTTTCCAGAGTTTCATTATTATTAACAACAATGACTTAGATGTGTTTCTAAGAAAGGATACTTAGGTAGAACCTTCTTGGAGAAAAAGGATCCTGCTTGAGGAGTGTCCCCTTGAGGGAATCTCCTCGCAGTAGGAATGTAAGTTGTTCAAACTGCCTGCAGGGGGCAGTGAAGTTTGTTGCCTTTTTAGCCCTGGCTTGGCAGCCCTGGAATTCCTCAATGTTTGAAAAAATTGGGTTTTGTTTTGTTTTTAATTTTTTTTTACATTTATTTATTTTTTGAGAGAGAGAGAGACAGAGTACAAGTGGGGGAGGGGCAGAGAGAGGGGGAGACACAGAATCCGAAGCAGGCTCCAGGCTCTGAGCTGTCAGCACAGAGCCCGACGCAGGGCTCGAACCCACGAACTGCAAGATCATGACCTGAGCTGAAGCCGGTCGCCTAACCGACTGAGCCACCCAGGCACCCCTGTTTTGTTTTTTAGAAAGAAAGCATACATGGTAGTCTATGGTCTTATTAGATAATTCAGTGTAGTTTATCTTTTCTGGACAGAATCTAGGGCAGTGTTTTGAGCTTCTGTATCATATAAAAGGTAATTCTTGAATGTTTTTATTTTTTGTTAAAGATACAAAAATAATACATATTTATTGTAAAATAGCCCATATGCTGTCACCCCTGATAAACTTAATAGCTGTTATCAGTCCTGCAAAAGTTTTGGAAAGATGTGACAAATGCTCTTAAGACAAATTGCCGTATGTTTTATACGGTATTCCACTTACAACCAAAATGTATTTCTTTGATATCCTTATTTAGTTCCTTCGTGTAAAGCACTGGTTGGCATCCAACCTGGATGCTGCACAATTAGCATCACCATGGAAGCTTTTTAAAAAATACTGATTTCCAGGGGCGCCTGGGTGGCTCAGTTGGTTAAGTGACCAACTTCAGCTCGGGTCATGATCTCGCAGTTTGTGAGTTCGAGCCCCGCGTCGGGCTCTGTGCTGACAGCTCAGAGCCTGGAGCCTACTTCAGATTCTGTGTTTCCCCCTCTCTCTACCCCGCCCCTGCTCACGCTCTCTGTCTCTCTCTCTTTCAATAATAAATAAACATTTAAAAAGTTAAAAAAAAACTGATTTCTGGGCCCTGCTTTTCAGAAATCCTGATGAATTTGTCTGATCGGGCCTGGGCATCAGTACTTTCTCTTTTATAAAGCTTCCAGATGATTTGCAGATAGGTTTGAGGACCATGGATAGTGCTAAGCTGTAGCCTAATATTAAAAAACTTTATGAAAGTTATCCTTTGATTTACAGTTACATTGTCATACTTTATAATTGGTGATATGTTAGCATTCCCTGTTTGTAGTATAAGTACTTTAGAACTTTCAATGAACTAGGTTGTTAAGAAAGTGTCATGATGGAAATAATGAAAGCAAAATGATTCTTTTTCAAGAAGACAGTGACATAATCGGATCTGAATAAAGAGGAACCATGGCTCTGTAATTCAAGCACAGAATCAGGAACTTTATGACTCTAATTCAAAGCCCAAATCCACCTTCTTTTTTTTGAAATATGTTTGGATAGGGGCGCCTGGGTGGCGCAGTCGGTTAAGCGTCCGACTTCAGCCAGGTCACGATCTCGCGGTCCATGAGTTCGAGCCCCGCGTCAGGCTCTGGGCTGATGGCTCAGAGCCTGGAGCCTGTTTCCGTTTCTGTGTCTCCCTCTCTCTCTGCCCCTCCCCCGTTCATGCTCTGTCTCTCTCTGTCCCAAAAATAAATAAACGTTGAAAAAAAATAAAAAAAAAAAAAGAAATATGTTTGGATATAAACAAATAATGTGGGTGGTAAGCTTTGGTTTATTTTTGGCTCTTATTCTGCTGTTGTTGAAATAGAAACTTTTTGCTTTTTGTGAATTGCCAACATGTTTGTTTATCTTATACTCTGATATTACGTAGGTTAAGCCTGTTTTTAAAATGAATAGCCAATTTATTTATACTGAAATCTTCATGTATTGTTGGTTATGACCACACAGTACCAAAACCCTTAAACCTAAGGATGGTTTGAAGACTCAAAAGAAACTGATTTCTTTTAATTAATCTACTACTAGTTAATTCTTTTGAGTTAATATTTAATTAACCTATTTAAATAAGTCTGTTAGACTCTATAAGTCAAAATACTGGATTAAAGGGTTTTTCTTTTCTCAGTCATCTTAAAGAATTGAGTGTGATATGTGACTCCAAAGAAACCAGATTGTTTAACACACACACACACACACACACACACACACACACGTATATAATATCTTTTAGAATTTAAATATCAAAATGAGTGCTGTCTGTTAAAATAGTTCCTTTGGGAGATTATCCAAAATTACTTAATGATATTGCTGTCACTATTGTTTGAAATGCTCTTGATTTTTTAAGACACGTTCTTAGCCTGGGAAGTTTAGCAAATAATAACTGCTGTGGTTAAGTTTAACTCTACTGGGTTTTGATTAAAATTTGGTTTAAAAACTTGCTGTTGCTATTTTAAGTGATTGTTGGGGCCAAGGAATGTCACGTGGAGAATGCAGATGAGGTGATGAGTCTCCTGGAGATGGGGAATGCAGCCAGGCATACAGGTACCACCCAAATGAACGAGCACTCCAGTAGATCACATGCAATTTTTACAATCAGCATTTGTCAAGTAGAGAAAAATACAGAGGCAGCTGAAGATGGATCGTGGTATTCCCATCGGCATATTGTCTCAAAGTTCCACTTTGTGGATTTGGCGGGCTCGGAAAGAGTAACTAAAACCGGGAATACTGGCGAACGGTTCAAAGAATCCATTCAGATCAACAGTGGGCTGTTGGCTTTAGGAAATGTAATCAGTGCTCTTGGGGACCCACGCAGGAAGAGCTCCCATATTCCATATAGGGACGCTAAAATCACCCGGCTTCTGAAAGATTCCTTGGGAGGCAGTGCCAAGACTGTCATGATCACTTGCGTCAGCCCATCCTCCTCAGATTTTGACGAGTCCTTAAATTCCCTCAAATATGCCAACAGAGCACGCAATATTAGAAACAAACCCACCTTAAACTTCAGCCCCGAGTCTGACCGTATGGATGAAATGGAATTTGAAATCAAGTTGCTTCGAGAAGCTCTGCAAAGCCAGCAGGATAGCAGCAGCCAAACCAGCCAGATCCATCAAGAGGGGACTCCTGATAAAAACAGGATCCGGTCTCTTGAGGAACAAGTAGCTCAGCTACAAGGAGAGTGTCAGAGTTACCAAACCTGTGTAGAGGAAGCCTTTACCTTCCTGGTGGACTTAAAGGGTGCTGTCAGACTGAACCAAAAGCAGCAACACAAACTGCAGGAGTGGTTTAACATGACCCAGGATGTCAGGAAGGCGGTGTTCACCTCGTTCAGAGGGAGCCACGGCGTCGGCAACCTGGAAGAAGGACCACAGCATGTGACAGTTCTCCAGCTGAAGCGAGAGCTTAGGAAATGCCAGGTATGTAGACACCACTTCCGTCAGTGACTTGTTTAAGGACTCCGTTTATTTGGGCAAGGGTCATTTTGGGATTCCAGAAGTTTTTAAAAAGGATTATATGTAAATTCTCATTTGCCTTTTGCTCAGTCTCTTTTTCCCTTTTCCTACTGCTTTGTCCTCATTTTCCTTTCTCTTTTAATATTTTTTTAATTTTTTTAAGTTTATTCATTTCGAGAGACAGAGCAAGTGGGGAAGGGGTAGAGAGAGAGGGAGAGAGAGAATCCCAAGGAGGCTCCACAATGTCAGCACAGAGCCTGACACAGGATTCAAAGTCCGGAAACTCGAGACCATGACCTGAGCCGAAACCAAGAGTCAGATGCTTAACCGACTGAGCCACCCAGTTGCCCCTCTCTTTCAGCATTTTAACTTGTTACATTTATGAAGTAGAATCTTGGGGACCTGGTCATTAATTTAGAGGGTGAAGAGAAACATAATTTCAGAAACAAAATGAAGTACTTTATTGAGTTTTTATCCCTCTTTGGGTCAGTGGTTCTTGAAGAAAAAAAAAAAAAACTTCACCCCTTGAGTGTGGAATGTTGAGTTTTTTTAAAAAGTTTGTTTATTTATTTTGAGAGAGTACAGTGGGGGAGGGACAGAGAGAGAGGGAGAGAGAGAATCATAAGCAGACTCTGTGTTGTCACTGCAGAGCCTGATGTGGGTTCGAACACATGAACTGCGAGATCGTAACCTGAACTGAAATCAAGAGTCAGAGGCTTAAGTGACTACTGAGCCACCTAGGCACCCCGGAATGTTGATTTTTTTTTTTAAACAAACAAAATCATTGTATGTGACAATATTTAAGGGATGTAGGTATGTACATGTGTACATATTACATATATGTACATTGAGTTCCGAAATATATTTGTCACTTTCCATTCAAAAACCTGAAGATTTCGTGTCCCTAGGGAAATCATGGAAAACAAGATGTACCTATTCTGCTTACGTGGAGTTTGCATTCTGTTGGGCAAATAGGTATTCTGCCAGTTTTTGAAAATAGGAAAACAGTGTTCTTTCTTTTTTTTTTTTTAATGTTTATTTATTTTTGAGAGAGACAGAGACAGAATGCAAGTGGGTTAGGGGCAGAGAGAGAGAGGGAGACACAGAATCCAAAGCAGGCTCCAGGCTCTGAGCTGTCACCATAGAGCACAACGCAGGGCTTGAACTCACAAACCGCGAGATCATGACCTGAGCCAAAGTCAGATGCTTAACCGACTGAGCCACCCAGGTGCCCTGAAAACAGCTTTCTAGTTAGAAATCTTTCCTCTGTACCTCTTTATATGTATTAGAAAGAAACCTCTATTGCAGCAGTTCTTGAACTTTTTATTCACAAGGTTTTTTTTTTTTTAATATTATTTATTTTTGAGAGAGAGCACAAACAGGGGAGGGGCAGAGAGAGAGGCAGAGGATCCGGAGTGGGCCTAATAGCACTACACTGATAGCAGAGAGCCCAATGGGGAGCTCGAACCCACAAACCGCGAGATGAGTTGAAGTCAGACACTTAACTGACTGAGCCACCCAGGTGCCCATACAAGGTTTTTTTTTTTTATGTTTTTAAAATTGAGGTCCCCTAAAGAGCTTTTGTTTATGTGGGTTGTATCTATTGATATTTACCATATTAGAATTAAAACACAAAAATTTAAGCTATTAATTCACTCAAAATAATAACCCAATGGTTAAGTAAAAACATTTTTTCATGAAAAATAACTATTTTCCAAATAAAAAAACTTAATAAAAGTGGAATTGTTGTACATTTTTACAAATCTCTTTTAATGTCTGGCTTAATAGAGGATGTGTGGATTTTCATATCTGCTTCGGCATACAGTTTGTTGCAATATGTTGTTTTAGTTGAAGTACATGAAGAACATCCAGCCTCATTTAGATTTGTAATTGGAAAGAGGAACATTTTAATTTTTTTTCAGATAATTATGGATATTCTTCTTTGTTATTGCACCAAAACTCAACAAGTAGCAGCATCCTAAAGGTTACTTGCAATGTGGGATTTGAAACTATTTTTGTTACGTTAAGATCTGTACATTAAAATTTTTATTTTTATCTTGCTTTTTTTTTTTTTTAAGAGAGAGAGAAAGAGCACGTGCGCGCGCAAGCAGGAGAGGGGCAGCAGGAGAGGGAGAGAGACTCTCCAGCAGGCTTCACTCCCAGCACAGAGCCTGTCACAGAGCTCCATCTCACAACTGTGAGATCGTGACCTGAGTGGAAATCAAGAGTCAGTTGTTTGACCGACTGAGCCACCCAGGCTCCCCTTTATCTTGTACTTTGAATGGATCTTTCATCCACGTGATTTTCAATCATCACCCATCGATCATTTGGAAAATATTTGTTTACTAAGTTATGTGCATCTTCCAATCAAGGGGCAGAAAGAGAGGGAGAGAGAGAATCAAGACTTGGACGCTCAACTGACTGAGCCACCCAGGCACCCTATCTCACAACGTCTGATACTTAAATATAAGCATTTAAAATCATAATTTTAAAATAATGGAGTTTAAAATTTTTGTTTTGAAGTAATCTGCCCCCAATATGAGGCTTGAACTCATGACCTTGAGAGCAAAAGTTGCATGCTGTATTGACTGAGCCATCCAGGTTCCCCAAAAATCATGGATTTTTTTTTTTAAAGCAGTAACTCTGCTCTACCTTCTTCATAATAGAGCAGGCCTGATCCTTCCTGTTTGGCATAAGAAAGTGGCAGAACAGGAAATACAGTTGATGGGAAGCTTGAACTTTGGAGCACTATAGGAGTTGACAATAAGGAGTACTTCATCCTTCTAAGGTGGCTGAAATGGAAGCCCATAAAACCCCCTGATTGCGGATGGCGGGGTAGTAAGTTTTTCTCTCCATCTGTTGGAAATTCTGAATTAACTTCCTCTAGATTATGTACTCTAGATTAAGATTTCCCAAGGATATTAACAGTCTTTTTTTTGTTGTTGTTGTTAACATTTATTCACTTTTTGAGAGAGAGAGACAGAGTGTGAGCAGGGCAGGGGGCAGAGAGAGAGGGAGACACAGAATCGGAAGCAGGTTCCAGGCTCTGAGCTGTCAGCACAGAGCCCAACATGGGGCTTGAACTCACAAACTGTGAGATCATGACCTGAGCTGAAGTCAGATGCTTAACTGACTGAGCCACCCAGGAGCCCCAGGATATTAACAGTCTTGAAGAAAAAGGGCACCGTGATCAGATGGCTTTAGGGAATGCTAGATTACAAAAATCCCAAGACTTCTCAGAACTTTCAAAGTGCTAGTGTAATTAATCTCAGTGTGAAAGATACAATATTCAGTATTTCCCAATTAAAAAATAGATTTTTTTTTTTTTTTGGTCTGAAGTCTTGCAGGAGTAGTAATCTTGGATACCACTAAATAGCAAATAGAGAAATGATTGCTGTCATTCCTCACCCCATATGTCTCCTTAAAAAGTTGTTTTCTAGGGGTGCCTGGGTGGCTCCATTGGTTAAGCATATGGCTTTGGCTCAGGTCATGATCTGGCAGTTTGTGAGTTCGAGCCACGCATCGGGCTATGTGCAGACAGCTCAGATTCTGTGTCTCCTATCTCTCTGCCCCTCTCCTGCTTGCTCTCTCTCTCTCTCTCTCTCTCTCTCTCAAAAATAAATAAACAAAAAAAATTAAAAAGTTTTCTAGACTTTCTGTTTGAGACAGAATAACATAGTGGTTAAGAACATTGGTACCAAACTCCTAAGATTTGAATTCCAACTCCTTCGCTTACTTGCTCTGTGACTTTGGGAAAATACTTAACCTCTCTGTGCTAATTAAACAATAATAACAAGCATGTTGTAGGGTTCCTGTGAAGATTATTAAAACACTAGTTCCCATAAAACGATGAGAAGGCTGCCTGGCTTGGAGTAAGGCTCAATAAAGGCAGCTCATTATTATCTCTCATTTATTTTTCACCTACCTAGCTCATTATTATCTCTCACCTATTTTTCACCTGCTGAGGTTATGTATCAGTGGCAGCTAAGTGATTGGACTTAGCTGTACGTGGGGCCACATGCCAGGGGTTACTGTGAAGTAACTTGATAAACTACTTAGCAAGACAGCAGGTCTGTGCAGGGAGAGGCATGGACATTCTCTTTGCTCAGCCCTGCTTCCTTGAGCCTGTTACACAAGCAGGTAAGTACTTAAAAATAAAATTCCTAGCCAACAGGAGATCATGGGCCATATCACAGGTAGAATTACCACCAGATTTTTGCTAAGGAAGTGTCACTTTGAACTTCACCATCTTCTCCTTGTTAGATGCTGTCAGGTAGTGTTTCTCTTTTTTTGTTTTTAATTTTTTTTTAATGTTTACTTTTGGGGGAGAGAGAGAGAGAGAGAGAGTGCATGCAAGTGGGGGAGGGGCAGAGAGAGAGGGAGACAGGATCTGAAGCAGGCTTTGTGCCAGCAGCAGACAGCCTGATGTGGGACTTGAACTCATGAACCATGAGATCATGACCTGAGCCGAAGTTGGACACTTAACCCACTGAGCCAGCCAGGTGCTCCTGTGTCAGGTAGTGTTGTAATCCTTGGTTTTTGCCATTGGTCAATTACTGGAATACTCAATATCCTAATAAACACCTCTTGAAGGACTTTGTTGCCTTTTTATTCCAAATTTTGAATACGAGAGCAGTATGTGAACATGAATTTACTCAACAGTTAAACACTTGAAATAAATAATAAATAATATAGCTGTAGTCTGTAAAGCATATGTAAAAATAGTTGAATATGCAGTACTACGTGACAAATTACATTTTAAGCTCAAATGTACAGTTTACCATGGGAGAGGATATTAACCAACGAGAATTATAGTTTAATCTCATTTTATAAAAGAAGTCACATAGGTCATATGTAAACATATGAAAATAAGGACCATCAGGGTCATGTGTCCTCTCCTCATTTGGTCACTTGAGGATCCCAAGCAGAGAAAAGAAGGGACTTGCCCTAAGTGGTGCTACAAGGCTGTGGCAAATCAAGGCTGGCCTTGGTCTATGGGTTCTCTGTACAGGGACCCATCTACCCCTCTATGCCATTGCCTGAGTAGTCACGTACATACTCTGTTTTTGTGAATTAAATCTTACTTGTAAAGGGAACACTATTTTTGTAAATCAGCTCTTGTTCTTGTGTTTTCCTATAGCTTAGTAGAAAGAGCATGGGGTTTGATCCAGAAAGACCCTGGGATTGAAGGTCAGGAGTTTGGTTTATCTACTGGGTCATCTTGGGAAAAGGTTTTAATCTCTTGGTTTCTTCATGAAAAAAGAATCATGTCTATTCAGTGAGATTTTTTTAAATGTATTTTTAATGTTTGTTTATTTATTTATTTATTTATAAATGTTTATTTATTTTTGAGACAGAGAGAGACAGAGCATGAACGGGGGAGGAGCAGAGAGAGAGAGGGAGACACAGAATCCGAAGCAGGCTCCAGGCTCTGGGCTGTCAGCACAGAGCCTGACGTGGGGCTTGAACTCATGAACTGTGAGATCATGACCTGACCTGAAGTCGGACACTGAACCGACTGAGTCACCTAGGCGCCCCACAGTGAGATATTTTTAAAATGTCAAGTCACTATCTAGCATAAAATACACTTTAAAAAAATTATTTATTTATTTTGAGAGAGAGAGAGGGAGGGGGAGAGAGAGAGGGAGAGAAACCCAGGCAAAACTCTGCACTCTCAGTTTAGAGGCCAACGCGGGGCTCAATCCCATGAACTGTGAGACCGTGACCTGAACTGAAATCAAGTCGGACACTTAACCAACTGAGCCACCCAGGTGCCCCTAGCATAAAATTCACTCAACAAATATTAAATTTCTTTCAGTTTATTTAATTTAAAAATTGTTTTAAAAGTATTACTTGCATATCTCAAGTTTATTTGAAAACAGGCATAATTCATTGGAAATTAAGAAAACTGTTTAACCATATTTTTAGATACCTTCAAAATATCTCTTCATAGTGAAAGTGCATAAAATTACTAAATATTTGGGGCGACTGAGTGACTCAGTCAGTTAAGTGTCTGACTTTGGCTCAGGTCATGATGTCATGGCTTGTGGGTTCGAGCCCCGCATCAGGCACCGTGCTGACAGCTCAGAGCCTGGAGCCTGCTTTGGATCTTGTGTGTGTCTCTCTCTGCCCCTTCCCTGCTTGTGCTCTCTCTCTCTCAAAAATAAACATTAAAAATAATTTTTTTTGAATTACCAAATATTCTTTATTTAAAAGATCCAAATGTGTTCTTAACTCTATAGGTCAGTTTGGAAAATGTGACCTCTTTGATTTTTAAAAACCCACATTTAAAAGTCTCATGGCAAAAAAAAAAAAAAAAAAAAAAATCTCATGGCAATTCTAGCAAACTTGTAAAAATAACTCCTCCTGAGTGTAGTCTAGAAATCAAGTGACTGTTTTTGTTTTAAAATTCAGGAAATAAAAACCAGGAAAGTCTTTGTATCTTTATGGTAATTAATTCTTAGGTTATAGCAATGACAGGTCCTCGAACTGTTTCTGCCTTTCTTCTACAGAATACAAAAAAAATTGAAAATGAATAGGATGAGAAAAATTTCGAGAGACATTGTCAAACCATCATGAAATCCCAGTTTTTGTGGTATTTTCTGGGCTGTCTGGAGTACTTTCTGTGGTGAATCTCTTGTGCTTTCTTTCCGTCCTCCCAGTGTGCACTGGCTGCTGATGAAGTTGTATTTAATCAGAAGGAATTGCAGGTGAAGGAACTGAAGAATCAAGTACAAATGATGGTCCAGGAAAACAAAGGACACGTGGTATCTTTGAAAGAAGCACAAAACGTCAATAGATTGCAGGTAGAGTTTCTTGACCTATCTAGTGCTGTAGATTTAGTTGAATAGTACTTGGCTAAAAGAATAGCATTTTAAGTTTATTTATTTGAGAGAGAGAGAGAGACAATGAAAGAGAGCAGGGGAGGGCCAGAGAGAGAGGGAGAGAGAGAATCCCAAGCAGGCTCCACGCTTTTAGTGCAGAGCCTGATGTGGGGCTTGATGTCACGAACCATGGGCCAAAATCAAGAGTCAGATGCTTAATTGACTGAGCCACCAGCCGCCCCAGAATAGCATTTTATTGTATTTTATTGTATTGTATTGTATTGTATTGTATTTTTATTATTTTATTTTATTAATTTTATTTTTTAAAGGAGATATTTCATCCCAGTTATTTAAAAAAAATTTTTTTTTAATGTTTATTTATTTTTGAGACAGAGAGAGACGGAGCATGAACGGGGGAGGGTCAGAGAGAGAGGGAGACACAGAATCCGAAACAGGCTCCAGGCTCTGAGTGGTCAGCACAGAGCCTGACACAGGGCTCGAACTCACGGACCGCGAGATCTTGACCTGAGCCGAAGTTGGACACTCAACCGACTGAGCCACCCAGGTGCCCCTCATCCCAGTTATTTAAAAAAAATTTTTTTTAATGTTTATTTATCTTTGAGAGACAGAGAGAGAGAGAGAGAGAGAGAGATCATGAGTGGGGGTGGGGCAGAGAGAGAGGGAGACACAGAATCCAAAGCAGGTTCCAGGCTCTGAGCTGTCAGCACAGAGCCCTATGTGGGGCTTGACCCCACGGACTGCAAGATCATGACCTGAGCCGATGTCAGATGCTTAACTGACTGTGCCACCCAGGCCCCCCGAGGAGAAAACATTTTTTTTTTTTTAATTTTTTTTTCAACGTTTTTATTTATTTTTGGGACAGAGAGAGACAGAGCATGAACAGGGGAGGGGCAGAGAGAGAGGGAGACACAGAATCGGAAACAGGCTCCAGGCTCCAAGCCACCAGCCCAGAGCCAGACGCGGGGCTCGAACTCCCGGATCGCGAGATCGTGACCTGGCTGAAGTCGGGCGCTTAACCGACTGCGCCACCAGGCGCCCCGAGGAGAAAACATTTTTATTGTTAGCCTGACTTTCACAAATATGAAGGTGATACACAACTTAATTTGCATAACATATTACAGTTACCTTTTCTCCATGTTTTTCCATTCTGCTGTTTGCCAAGGTAATAGGCAACATGATGTTGTTAAGAGTTGGTAAGTAAACACATACTTTAAAATTTATTAGATAATCCTTTTATACTCTTATCAGTGGTTTGCTCTTTAACCTTGGTTAAACTTTCTACTTTTCTATCTTAGCTTCCCTAATGTCCCTAAATATTATACTTCTCGGCTGTGAACACCCCCACCCCAATCCGTGGTGGGGCACTTCCCACAGCCCCAAACAGTTAATTTCATTTAAAGCCTTTAGGTTCCTATCAGGGGGGAATAACCTGATCCAGCACAAGTTAGATTTTGATTTTTTTTTTTTTAATTTTTTTTTTTAACGTTGATTATTTTTGGGACAGAGAGAGACAGAGCATGAACGGGGGAGGGGCAGAGAGAGAGGGAGACACAGAATCGGAAACAGGCTCCAGGCTCCGAGCCATCAGCCCAGAGCCTGATGCGGGGCTCGAACTCACGGAGCGCGAGATCGTGACCTGGCTGAAGTCGGACGCTTAACCGACTGCGCCACCCAGGCGCCCCTAGATTTTGATTTTGACATTTCATTTTTGTTTCCTTTTTTTAACTCTTCTCATTCTATAATAGTTTAAAAACATAAAACATAAACAAAACACAATGTACCATGCAGTGTTGTATCACAAAGAGAGCAGCAGCTGGGTAACCAGCTGGTAAATAGTAAACTGTCAAAAAATAGCTCTCTGCCCCTTAGAAGTCCTTAGTTGGTCCTGATCAGAGAGAGCCGCTTTCCTCACTTGATAGTATTGCTTTCCTTGGTTTGCTTTGTGGTTTTACTCTATATCCTTGAACACTACAGTTTACTTGTTGGAATTTTAAGAAATTTAATCATTCAGTACATATATTCTTCAGTATCTAGTTGCCTTTATTGAAAGTTTTTTTTTTTTTTTCCTGATTCACCTATCATGTGTGTAACTGTAGCCTGTTTAGGTTTATAGACATATAGGATTTCATTGTATGAATATATGGCAATTTATGTTTCTCTTCTACTCTTAATGAATGTTTTTTGGTGATGGACATTGTATTTTATTTTCTTTGTTTTTTTTTTTTAAGATTTTATTTTTTAAGTAATCTCTGCACCCAAAGTGGGGCTTGAACTCATTGAACAAGAGCCGTGTGCTCTACTGACTGAACCAGCTAGGTACTCTCTTTTTTTTTCTTAATTCTGGTATAATTAACAATGTTGTATTAGTTTGAGGTGTCTAATATAGTGATTCAACAATTCTGTACATTACTCAGTCCTTACTGGGATGGACATTTTCTCATAGTTGTCTGTTGGTGCACACGCACATACATTTGTTTTGGATTTGTTCCTGGAAGTTGGAGTGGTAGGTCATAGGGAAGGCGAATTTTCAACTTTAACAAATAATATCACACTCTTTTCCCAGTTTACACTCACACCAGTACTGTATGAGTATGCCTCTTGTTCCACATGCTTATCAATGTTTGTTGTTAATTTTTTTATTTCTCTGAAAGTTTCAGGTTTTTTTTTAATTTTGTTTTTTAAATTTATATCCAAATTAGTTAGCATACAGTGCAACAATGATTTCAGGAATAGACTCTTAGTGCCCCTTCCCCAGTTAGCCCATCCCCTCTCCCATACCCCCTCCAGTAACCCTCTGTTTGTTCTCCATATTTATGAGTCTCTTCTGTTTTGTTCCCCTCCCTATTTTTATATTATTTTTGTTTCCCTTCCCTTATGTTCATGTTTTATCTCTTAAAGTACTCATATGAATGAAGTCATATGATATTTGTCTTTCTCTGACTGACTACTTTCACTTACCATAATACCCTCCAGTTCCATCCACGTAGTTGCAAATGGCAAGATTTCATTCTTTTTGATTGCCGAGTAATACTCCATTGTATATATATACCACACCTTCTTTATCCATTCATCCATCGATGGACATTTGGGCTCTTTCCATACTTTGGCTATTTTGATAGTGCTGCTATGAACATGGGGGTGCATGTGTCCCTTCGAAACAGCCCACCTGTATCCCTATGGATAAATGCCTGGTAGTGCAATTGCTGGGTCGGAGGGTAGTTCTATTTTTAGTTTTTTGAGGAACCTCCATACTATTTTCCAGAGTGGCTGCGCCAGCTTGCATTCCCACCAACAATGCAAAAGAGATCCTCTTTCTCCGCATCCTTGCCAACATCTGTCTTTGCCTGAGTTGTTAATGTTAGCCATTCTGATAGGTGTGAGGTGGTATCTCATTGTAGTTTTGATTTGTATTTCCTTGATGATGAGTGATGTTGAGTATTTTTTCATGTGTCGGTTGGCCATCTGGATGTCTTCCTTGGAGAAGTGTCTATTCATGTCTTTTGCCCATTTCTTCACTGGATTATTTGTTTTTTGGGTGTTGAGTTTGATAAGTTCTTTATAGAGTTTGGATAGTAACGCTTTATCTGATATGTCATTTGCAAATATCTTCTCCCATTCTGTCAGTTGCCTTTTAGTTTTGCTGATAAAAGTTTCATTTTTTTTTTTAAGTTTTAAATTCTAATCCCAGTGTAATTTACATACAGTGTTGTATGGTGTACAATATAGTGATTCAACAATTCTATACATTACTCAGTGCTCATTATGGTAAGTGTACTCTTAATTCCCTTCACCTATTTCACCCATCTCCCCACCCACCACCCCTCTGGTAACCATCAGTTTGTCCTTTATAGCAAAGAGTGTTTCTTGGTTTGTCTTTCTCTTTTTAAAATTTCCTTTGCTTAAATTTCACATATGAGTGAAATAATATAATATTTGTATTTCTCTGACTTATGTCATTTGGCATTTATAGTCTCTGGATCCATTTTTGTCCTTGCAAAAGACAGGATTTCATTCTTTTTTATGGCTGAATAATATTCATATATATACACATTATATATGTATGATGTGTATATATATGCTATATGTGTAAATGCCACATCTTTATCCATTCATCTATTGGTGGACACTTAGGCTGCTTCCATTTCTTGGCTATTGTAAATAATGCTGCTATCACTATCAACAATAGCCAAATTATACAAATACACACACACACACACACACACACACACAGACACCATGGAATATTATTCAGCAGTCAGAATGAAATTTTGCCATTTGCAACAATGTGGATGGAACTAGAATGTATTATGCAAAGCAAAATAGAGAAAGGTAAATATATGATTTCACTCATATGTGGAATTTAAGAAACAAAACAAACAGGGGAAGGGAAGGAAAAATAAGATAAAAACAGAAAGGGAGTCAAACCGTAAGAGACTCTTAAATACAGAGAGCAAACTGAAGGTTGCTGATGGGGTGTTGGGTTGGGGGAATGGGCTAAATGGTTGATGGGCATTAAGGAGGGCACTTGTTGGCATAAGCACTGGGTGTTATATGTAAGTGATGAATCACTAAGTTCTACACCTGAAGAAACTAACTTGCGTTTGAACAAAACAAACAAATAATACATTAAAAAAATAATACTGCTATAAACATAAGGGTGTATGTATCCCTTTGAATTAACGTTTTTGTACTTTGGAGATAAATACTCAGTAGTGTGATTACTGGATCCTAGGGTAGTTTTATTTTTAATGTTTTGAGGAACCTCCATACTATTTTCCACAGTGGCTGCACCAGTTTGCATTCCCACCATTAGTGTAAGAAGTTTCCTTTTTCTCCACATCTCCCTAACACCTGCTGTTTCTTGTGTTGTTGATTTTAGCCATTCTGACAGGTGTGAGGTGGTATCTCATTGTAGTTTTGATTTACATTTCCCTGATGATGAGAGATGTTGAGCAAATTTTCCTGTGTCTGTTGGCCATCTGGATGTCTTCTTTGAAGAAATGTCTGTTTGTGACTTCTGCACATTTTTAAATTGGATTATTTGTTTTTTGGGTTGTTGAGTTGTATCAGTTCTTTACATATTTTGGATACTAATCCTTTATCGAGTATATCATTTGCAAATATCTTCTCCCATCCAGTAGGTTTACCTTTTAGTTTCATCGATTATGTCCTTCACTGTACAGAACCTTTTTATTTTGATGTGGTCCCAATAGTTTATTTTTGCTTTTGTTTCCTTGCCCCAGGAGACATACCTAGTAAGAAGTTGCTAATGGCCAGTGTCAGAGAGATTACTGCTTATGCTCTCTTCAAAGATTTTTATGGTTTCCAGTCTCACGTTTAAGCTCTCAGTCCATTTTTAATTTATTTTTGTGTATGAAAGAAAGAGGCCCAGGTTCATTCTTTTGCACGTAGCTCTCCAGTGTTCCTAACACTATTTGTCAAAGAGACTGTCTTTTTCATGCATACTCTATCCTCCTTTGTTGAAGATTAATTGACCATATAATTGTGGCTTTTTTTCTGGGGTTTCTGTTCTGTTCTGTGGATCTATGTGTCCATTTTTGTGCCAGTACCATACTGTTTTAATTGCTGCAGCTTTGTGATATAACTTGGGAATTGAGATGCCTCCAGTTTTATTTTTCTTTTTGAAGATTGCTCGGGCTGTTCAGGGTCTTTTATGGTCCCATAGAAATTGTAAAAATCCTGTTGCTATCTTGATAGGGATTGCGTTCTATGTGTAGATTGCTTTGAGTAGTATAGACATTTTCACAGTATTCTTCCAATCCATAAGCATGGAGTGTCTTTCCATTTCTTTGTGTGTCTTCAATTACTTTCATCAATATTTTATAGTTTTCACCTATACAAGTCTTCCACCTCTTTGGTTAAGTTTCTTCCTAAATATTTTATTATTTTTGGTGCAGTCGTAAATGGGGTTATTTAATTTTCTTTCTGCTGCTTCATAATTAGTGTAGAGGAATGAGACAGATTTCTGAACTTTGATTTTGTATCTTGTGACTACTGAATTCATTGATCCGTTCTAGCAGCTTTTTGGTGGAGTCTTTAGGATTTTCTATATATAGTGTCATGTCCTCTGCAAATAGAGTTTTACTTCTTCCTTACCAATTTGGATACCTTTTATTTCTTTTTGTTGTCTGATTGCTGTGGCTAGGACTTCCAGTACATAAAAGTGGTAAGAGTGAGGGGCACCTGGGTGGCTCAGTCAGTTAAGCATCCAACTCTTGGTTTCATCTCAGGTCACGATCTCACAGTTTATGAGATCAAGCCCCGCATCTGGCTCTGTGCTGATGGGAGCCTGCTTGAGATTCTCTCTGTCCCCCCTCTCTCTACCTCTCTCTTTCTCAAAATAAATAAATATTTTTTTAAAAGTGGTGGGTGCCTGGGTGGCTCAGTTGATTGAGTGTCCAACTCTTGATTTCAGCTCAGGTTATGATCTCACAGTTTGTGAGTTCAAGCCTCACATCGGGCTCCATGCTGACAGTGCAGAGCCTGCTTGGGATTCTCTTTCTCCCTCTCTGTCTGCCCCTCTCTCCCTTGCTGTCTTCCTCTCATTCTCTCTCAAAATAAATAAATAAACTTAAAAAAATAGTGGTAAGAGTGGATATTCTTGTTTTGTTCCTAACCTTTGAGGAAAAGCTCTCAGTTTTTCCCATTGATGTTCTCTGTGGATTTTTCATAGAAGTTCTTGATTATGTTTTGGCATGTTCCCTCTAAACCTACTTTGTTGAAGGTTTCTCTCATGAATGGATATTGTACTTTGTCAAATGCTTTTTCTGCATCTGTTCAAATGACCATTTGGTTTTTATCCTTTCTCTTATTGATGTGATATATCACATTGACTGTGAATATTGAATCACCCTTGCATCCCAGGAATAAATCACATTTGATTGTGCTGAAGGATTTTTTTAAATGTATTGTTGGATTTGGTTTGCTAGTATTTTGTTGAGGATTTTTGCATCTATATTCATGAAGGATATTGGACTGTAGTTTTCTCTTTTTGTGGTGTCTTTATCTGATTTAGGATCAGGGTAATGCTGGGCCTCATAGAGTGAATTTGGAAGTTTTCCTTCCTCTTGTATTTTTTGGAATAGTTTGAGAAGAATTATTCTTTAAGTGTTTGGTAGAATTCACCTGTGAAGCTGTCTGGTCCTGGACTTTTTGTTTCTTGGGAGTTTTTTGATTACTGATTCACTTTCATTGCTGGTAATCTTCCTAAATTCTTTAGAAGGATTCTTAGTTCATTGATTTTTAGCTTTTCTTCTTTTATAATATGTGCATTTAAGTTACAGATTTCCTCCTAAGTTTACCTGCTCAAAATATTTCCTTATATTTACTATGACTTATCTGACTCATGGGTAATAAGTTACTTTATATCCAACACATGGAGGATTTCTTTTTATGAGTTTTTGGCTTAATTACATTGTGGTCCATATGATTTCAGTCCTTTGAACGTATTGAAACTTGCAGGGGCGCCTGGGTGGCTCAGTCGGTTGAACGTCTGACTTCGGCTCAGGTCACGATCTCGCACTCTGTGAGTTCGAGCCCTGCGTCGGGCTCTGGGCTGATGGCTCGGAGCCTGGAGCCTGCTTCCCGTTCTGTGTCTCCCTCTCTCTCTGCCCTGCCCCCGTTCATGCTCTGTCTCTCTCTGTCTCAAAAATAAATAAACCTTAAAAAAAAAAAAAAGAAACTTGTGTCATGGCTTAGCATAAGGCCAATTTTTGTAGGTATTACAGATGTACTGGAAAGGAATATGTATTCTGTAATTATTGGGTGGTGGTAATCTTGTTAATCGTATCTATATTTTTATTCATTTTTGGGTCTTTTTGTTATATCAGTAATTTAGAGTCATGTTACAATCTTTTGCTACAATTTTGGATTGTATGATTCCATGAAGTACTAACAACTTTTTTTATTGTTTATTTATTTATCTTAGCACAAGCAAGGGAGGAGAGAGAGAGAGAGAGAGAGAGAGAGAGGGAGACAGAGAATCTGAAGCAGGCTCTGAGCTTTCAGCACAGAGCTGGCCGGAAGGCTTGAACTCACAAACTGTGAGATCAGACGCTTAACCAACTAAGCCATCCCGGCTCCCCAGTACTAACAATTTTTGCATTATACATATTGAAGCTGTGTTATTAAGTACACAGAAATGATGACTGTTACATCATTCTGGTGAATTGACTTTTTTAATATTTTTTACCTCTTCCAGTGGCTTTTGCCTTAAAGTCTACTTAGGTATTCACATAGCTCTACCAGCTTTCTTTTGATTAACATTACCTGGTGTCTCTTTTCTACCTTATTTTTAATCTTCGTGGGTCTATTTTAGTTGTGTTTCTTGGAAGCAGCAAGTTAGATAATTTTACAATCCCCTGACATATTGTAATCTTTTAATTGGATTACTTAGTTCATTTCTGAATTTAACATAATTCCTTTCATATTGTGGTTCTAATCCCACCATTGTGGTTTTTACTTATCCTAACTGCTCTGCGTTCCTTTTTCTCTCCTTATCTTCTTTTGGATTAATTGTGTTTTTTAAATTTTTCTATTTTTACTTCATTAGCTTAGGTGTTGTACTTTTACTCTTTCAGTTATTGGTGGTTACCCTAGAGAGTGTACCATGCACTCTTGATTTAATAAAGTCTAATATTATTGGTATTTTCACCCTTTCCCAGACAGTGTAAAAACTCCATATCACACCCCCTGCCTCAACTTCTATGCCATTGGCATATATTTTAATTATCTGAATATATGAATTTTTAATAAGGTTGCTTTCTTATAGCTTAGCATGAGCACTGTAAAACTTTAGGGTTTTTTTCCCTATTTAACAGTGTAGTATGTGTGAAGTATTAAGATGAATGACAGTTTCTTGTTTACATAATTTTGTGCTGATAAAACAGAGATTGATGTTAGAGCTTTCTGGATTGGGTGTAGTTGACAAAGTTTCTCTAGAGGATACATAGAAAGCTAACACACACACACACACACACACACACACACACTCCTGACACAATTTGTTCAGCCTTTGCTTTCCAGTTCTTTTTCCCCCCAGGACTACCAGCTACCTATCTTTTATCTCTTTGTGCTTTAGGCTTTCTTTTGCCCTGAGTAAAGGCTTTCACTTCACTGCACCTGTTACCAGTTAGTCTCCTTTGCAGCCACCTCTGCCATTTGTAGTTCTTTCTCCCCTTTTCAACTTTCTTCCTTCCTGTTACTGCTTGGATTTCACTCAGGAAGGCCAAACATTTAGAGAGATCAGCCAATCAGAATGCTTCAGGTTGGCAAACCAATCAAAATGTATGGGGCATTTACTTTGAGTATTTAATTCTTCAGTCTCTCTTTGTCACTGCTTACTATTCAAAAGTTTTTATCACTCGGAACCGTCTGGTGAACACCAGAAGGCTAGTCTGTGGAGCAGTGAGGTTTTATGGTTCTGTTAAGGTAGTCATGAGTTCGGGCAATGTACAATTTATTTTTAATCATTACACACTTACTGGGGTTCTCTATTTTAAAAATGTTCATCTCTCTTTTACAAAGAATGAAAAAATAATAGAACAACAACTTCTTGTGGATCAACTGAGTGAAGAACTAGCAAGACTTAATCCGTCAATGACATCTTCAGCTACGGAAACTTGTGGAGACAGGCCAGACACCAGGACACCTGGAAAGAGGCCATGTACCGTACCGTTTGATACTCGTTTGGGGCATTATATTTATATCCCAGCCAGATCAGATTCCAGGAAGGTAATGTCTAAACATTGATTTCTTTCTGGTTTTGGTTTTGATACGTAAAAAATATGTATAATATCACAGGATATTTGTACAGTCTCAGCACCTTCTCTTTTTCTGTTTGGTTTCATGGACTTTTATGTATATTCTTGCTTTCAGTCATGCTTATTTTTAACAAAAAATGAATAAATAGGAGAATATATAGTTTTATTTGGAAGGAATAGTTGAAGGTGATGTCTCTATTCACCAAGGAGAAAAAGCTATCCTTTGTCATCATATTTTCAGATGCCATCATATTTTCATATTTTCATGTTTTAGTCTGATATCTTCATTAATTTTTTTTCTGTCTTTAACCACACCAAGTTGAGATGAGATTGGAGGGTGCTTAGTTTGATTTATTTGGTCTGTTTTATTATTTTCAAAATGATATTTATCTATTATCCAGTCTTGCCAAGCTGACATAATCAAGACTGTGTGGAGATCAATATGAAGTTTCATTTTAATTTTTACTTATAAATATGTGTGTGGGTGGTAAATCTATGTACACAGATTTCTCATGAAAAATCAAGGAATCTCTACTGGAATGGAAATCTCTAGTGGAGAAGACTAAGTAGCAGATTCATGAATTTTGGTGTCTATTTATTAATTTTATGACTGGAAAGGATCTGAAGGCCATGTGATGGTTACCATTAAAGGGGTAAGAAATATGGGAAGCGTCATAGGCTTTGTAGCCAGGTAGGCTTGGGTGTGAACACAAGCTCTTTGTATAGACCTGTACGTGTGCCTAAACCCACGTGGGCCCCCGGTTCCTTATCTGTCAGACTGGGGGAAACATGGGTGTGTGTGGAGGATTTACATAAGATAGTGATGCTAAAACTGCCTGGTACACTGTGTCTTCAACACACGCCTATGGGGTGCGTTACTGTGTCCCAGGCTCCGTGCTTCAGAGTAAGACAGGTGCTATCCTTACCTGTGTGGTTTTTAGCTCTGAGTGGTTGAGTTTTAAAATTTAAATGACTGTTCTTATTAATTTCAGTTTTCCTTTGTAGAGTTACTGACATTTTCTTTTTAAAAATTTTTTGTTAACATTTATTCAGTTTTGAGAGACAGAGAGCACGAGCGGGGGAGGGGCAGAGAGAGAGGGGAGACAGAATCTGAAGCAGGCTCCAGGCTCTGAGCTGTTAGCACAGAGCCTGACGCGGGGCTTGAAGTTATGAACTGTGAGACCATGACCTGAGTTGAAGTCAGCCGCTTAACCGACTGAGCCACCCGGGTGCCCCTGAGTTATTGATGTTTTCTTTTTAAAAAAAATTTTTTTTTTCAATGTTTATTTATTTTTGGGACAGAGAGAGACAGAGCATGAACGAGGGAGGGGCAGAGAGAGAGGGAGACACAGAATCGGAAACAGGCTCCAGGCTCTGAGCCATCAGCCCAGAGCCTGACGCGGGGCTCGAACTCACGGACCGCGAGATCGTGACCTGGCTGAAGTCGGACGCTTAACCGACTGCGCCACCCAGGCGCCCCTGATGTTTTCTTTATGGGTGAATACACAGTAAATTTTCATAGAACATATGGGATGAAAGGTAAATGTTTGCAGGATTCAAATTTGATAACTATGATTTCAACTTAATAATTATATATCGTCTTCTGTATTTAAGCGATTTATTAACTCTTGGCTAGTAATGTGGATAAATTTTCTGTTTATTCTTTTATTTTTTATTTAAAAAAAAATTTTTTAATGTTTATTTACTTTTGAGAGACAGAGACAGAGCATGAGTGGGGAAGGGCAGAGAGAGAGGGAGACACAGAATCCGAAGCAGGCTCCATCCAGGCTCTTAGCTATCTGTCAGCACAGAGCCTGATGCGGGACTGAACTCACAAACCGTGAGGTCATGACCTGAGCTGAAGTCAGACACTTAACCAACTGAGTCACTCACGCGCCCCTCTTTTATTTTTTTTAAAGAACATTTGTTTTCCCCTGATTACAAAAGTTGTACATATTTATTCCCTCTCAGTCTCTCTTTCTTCTTTTTACTAGACATTCACACACACATACACTCTGTGAGGAGATAGAGCTCTGTGGGCTCTTGAGAAAAGTTAGACCCTTGTTCTTATTTCTAGTTGTTTGCATAGGCCTGAAACAGGCATGAGTGGAATAACGACTTCCGTGGTTATTGTTTCAAATTATCAGGTTATGAGTTTGGTTTTGTTTTTACAATTTTCCTTCTACCCCAAAAGATCTCTGCTAGCCATTAAAAGGAGGGGAAAAGAAAGAAGATGCAAAAGTCATGATCGGCAGTTTTAAGAACTCTTGTTCCTACCATGTGTCCAAGAATCTAGGCCCCTTTTCTTGTTTGGGCTGGTTACTGCAGCAGACATGAGAAGGCAGGCTTGCGTGGGAAGACACATGGCATGCCAAGCCTTGTTGGTGTCCTGCTTGTTCTAAAAGTGAGGGGAAGTTTTCATATTGAATACCGAAATGAACCAAATTACTCCCAAGAGGACATCTGAAATACCATTTCATTTTCTCCTGGATTTCTATCTCCTTGGCAGAAATCTAGCTAATATTTTCTTTTTCTTTTTTTTTTTTTTTGAGTTTATTTTTTTATTTTGAGAGAGAGGGAGAATAATGGGGGGGGGGGGGGGCAAAGAGAGAGGGGTAGGGAGAGAATCCCAAGCAGGCTGTCAGCACAGAGCCTGATGTGGGGCTCAAAGCCATGAACCATGAGATCTTGACCTAAGCCTAAATCAAGAGTCCAGCTCAACTGACTAAGACACCAGGCACCTTAAAAATATTTCTTAAATGCTTGTGTATACATATTGGAGGGACAAGAGCAAAAAGATCTTATTTATTTTAAATGCATTATTTGTTATATTATGTGTATACTCATATACTTTCATTACTGGCTTTTCTCACTTAATATATCATGAACATTTGAGAGTTATTAAATATTCTTTTATAACATATCATGATTTTTAATGGCTGAATAATATTTACCTTAACTATATATTAATATATTGAGATATATTATCTTAAATGTTTATTTAATATATTTTATTATATTAAATATTTAATATAATATTTTAAATAATATTTATCTTGTGTACTTTTTCCTATTATTGCACATTTGTTTTCAACTAGTTCTTAATCTGAAAAGTTAAACACCAAAATGGAATTGTAGAACATATCTACTTATGCAGAATTCCTAAAGAAATTGCCCCTCACAACTAAGTAGTGTATAGGTAAATGAAAGAAAAGGTTTTAGTATTATTTATCAAACTAATAGGAAAAAAGAGAAAAAACTCCTTTGTCTGAATAGATACCAAAGCTCATCAAATGAAATGTAAAGTTGAATCTTGATTTAAATCTAAAGAAAAAATATAACAGAGGTGTCTACTTTCTTAACATGGTAAATACGATGTACTTGAGGCCAAGAGCCAGTATTATACCCACTCAGAGGGCACTTTGGAGAGAAAAAAAATTAGAGGGGTTAGTCAATGCTTAGGTATAATACAATATCACAAATACTGATGAAAATCTGCCATGTTTCATTGATAGTAAGACTCACGTTGTTTTCACATTTTATCATCTTTGATGCCAGGGTATGTTTTATAATTGATGGCATGTCATAGTTTGACAGCTTTTTTTCTTTCTTGATGGGATAAAAATAATGGTGTCTCTTACAGTTGATGGCATTTTAGATTCGATGAAATCTGATATGGAGTGGAAATAAAAACAATAGGTAACGAATACCACTTTTAGTACTTCATACAATTGTATGCTAAGAAAACCGACCAAGTATTCTTAAGGGATATATTTAAAAAATCTGGACTCTCCAGGACCAGGGAGAAGTGCTAAGGGAATACTTCACTTAAAACTGCCAAAGATGTGGGGCACCAGGGTGGCTCAGTTGGTTAAGGGTCCTACTTCAGCTCAAGTCATGACCTCAGTTCGTGGGTTCAAGCCCCATCGTCGAGCTCTGTGCTGACAGCTCAGAGCCTGGAGCCTGCTTCAGATTTTGTGCCCCTCCCTCACTCATGCTCTGTCTCTCTGTCTCTCAAAAATAAATAAATGTTAAAAAAAAAAAAAAAACTGCCAAAGATGATTCCAGAGGCCCCAGGGCCCCCACAGCCAATGCTTCAGCAGAGGTCATGTTATAAATAAGAGCCAAATATGGGTAGAATAGTTGAACTCAGTAAGCTTTAAAATTCTCTCTAGCTTTATGGCTATATAATTCTAGGGAAGAAAATGGTTAGAATAAAATGTTGGCTTCTAGTGTATACACCTCAGTTAATCTGAATTATTAATCAGCTTATTTGAGTACTTACATTAGTGATTAGTACTGTTTGGGGTGTGGTTGAAAATGCTAAAGCGGGGAGCTATGGAATGCAGAAGCAACTAAAGGGAAGCAGGACTCAGTACTTAGGTAAGAAGGTGCCAGGTTTTATTGCATTGGGTGGAATGACTGTTAAGGAATTAATTTACTAAATATTACTGATTATTGTAGAATATATTTGGTATTCATTATTAGGCTGGCTCCTTTGGGGTTTTTTGTAGAAAAAAATTTTAAAAGCAGATTACAATTCTAGAGAACAATGTTTGACTTTGAACAGAAAGTATTATTTGCTCCTGAAATAATTCGCATTCCTCTGATGAAGAGAAACCTTGATGCCTGTTTGTTTTGGGGCAAAATGGACATGCGGGGTAATTGTGCTTGTTAGAGAAAAACTTACTGAGTTGGTTCTTCTGTAAATAATTCCCCTCCCCCCTCCCTCAAACCCCAGGATTGGGAGTCCACCTAGAAAACTTTACTCTGTGTCCATCATGGTACCAATGTGACCTTATTAGGTGGCCAACAACAGAGGCACAGGTATCAAGGAATCTTCCATATCAGGCGGGCTTTTCTGGGAGGGATTATGTGAGGGACCTCCATCACTTGAATCTTGATACTCTGTGATATACACATTCCACTATATGTCATAATTTTAATAGCTTCTAATGAAATCTGTTCATAAATGGAATGTTTCCTCTAATATTTTATTATCTGCCTTTTTTGAGAAATTACTCTGAGGTTTGGTTACAGAGAGGTGGTGAAAAAGGAAATACTTGTAACAAAAACCAGAAGAAGAGTATAAAGGCAATTTCTATTTTCTGTTGTTGTTTTCCAAGGTCATTTTTTGAGAGCTGAAGGCGCATTGCCAGTAGAAGCATGTTATCATATGAAAAGCTCCCAGGCTAGCCCATGAAAATCTATTTATCCATGATACATATTAACTATGTCACTTAGAGCATTAAGTCAGCTATCCCTAACCGCACCTGTAAAGTGTGAATACATGCATTTGGATTTCCTCCAGTGTAGTACAAATAGGTCATTGCCTCCTATCACACTGTGTCTGGGTTTCACTTTTGTTGGGAAGTACCCGTGCGATGCTTAAGAGCAGTGATGTTTTCACTCGTGCCTCTCTTTGGTTTCATTTTTGAATACTGTTTTCCATGAAGGTATAATTGAAGATAGCTTTCTAGAAGGAGGAAGAGCTGTGTAGGTTCTGAAGGAAGTATGTATCTATGGGGTAAAACAGCATGGTGAAATTTACTTTGACTTTTTTTGGGAGAATGGATATTTTCGGTGATTGGCTGTTTCCATGTAACTATCTAATAACCTCTTTAAAAATACTTTGAGCAATAGGATAAAAATAAACATAAAAAAATCACTTCTTTTCTGTTGTTGGGTGGGGTAATCACTTGTAAGGTCTACACAAGTCCTTCTGTGTACTCTCTGGATCGAGTAGTTGCTGGATTTCGAACACGAAGTCAGATGCTGCTGGGTCATATAGAAGAACAAGATGAAGTCCTCCACTGCCAATTTTCTGATGACAGTGATGATGAAGAATCAGAAGGCCAAGGGAAATCTGAAATTAGGTATGTTAAATATAGACTGATTTCATAAGCATAATATATGGTGCAATAAATATAGATAGATATAGGGGTTTTATTCATTAACATGTATCTTTACCATTTAATATAAGTTTTGCCTAAAGCACTGTCTACTGTGTTATGAAACCAGCATTTGAACACAAGTCATCAATCTTAAAATTGAAAATATTTTTGCATTTAGGGCTTTTATAGCTGTTGGATTTTAATTTTCAGAGAGAATGTGTTTGGATTTCCTGATTTTGCTGCCACAGTGGCAACAAACATGAATTTTCCCCTGAGTTCAGCCTGAGGGAGATATCCTTTTGTTTTGAGGAATATTAGAAAAATCTGTTTATGTAATTAATAATTTTTTAACATTGTGGTCAGTTGTGGGGAAACTAATTTGAGGGCATATTAGAAAACACTAACAGACAAGTTACCTTTGATCCTGATTTTTTTGTTTTTAGACATAGAAGTCGCTCGTGGATTCAGAAGCGAAGTTCTGTTTGTTCTCTTGTTGAATTGAATGATATTCAGGATCAAACACAAAAGTCAAGTTTGGGGAATGAAGGTACACAGACTTTCTCAAGTAATTTAGATCTAATGTTTATGACACTTCTCTTTTTCTTTAGTCAATAATTTAATTCTCAAAGATGGGAACTTGATAGGAAAACTTCCTTTTTGTTCTCTGTTCTCCCTCCAAGTTTTTACTTGCTACTCCTTAATTAAAAAAAAAAAAAAAAAAAATGTCCCCAGTTAATTCTGGCTAGAGTTATAGGATAAATGTCTCAGAATGGGGATTTTTGTACCCAAACTTGAGTTGATATTCACATTGTTCATTGATGACAGTAAAATACATTAAAAATTTTTTTTAATAATTTATTTAGGGTTATTTATTTATTTTGAGAAAGAGTGTGTGTGAGCAGGGGAGGGGCAGAGAGAGGGAGAGAGAGAATCTCAAGGAGGTTCTGCATTGTCAGCACAGTGCCCGATTCAGGGCTTGAACTCAAGGACCACAAGATCATGACCTGAGCCGAAGTCGGACACTTATCTGACTGAGCTACCCAGGTGCCCCTAAAATACATTTTAAATAATGTACCAGGTATCTGCTGCTTCCCTGGCACACCTGCCTTCCAGTAGTGATGTATGTGACTTTAGAGCCAACTTAGTCTGCTGAGTGCTCATAATGTTGTACTACACAGCTGATGAGAATTTGTATGCATCAAATAAGCATAAAAAATGTTTGTGTTGCCAAAACTATGTTGTAGTAGGAGATTTTTAACTCATTTCTCTTGGCCTATGAGTGGTCAGACACACACACAGAAAAGAGCATAGCAAATATAAATAACACAATAGATATGTCCACTATGAAAATAGAGAGCATTTTATCTTTTAAAGAGCCTATGCCTGTTCTATTAACAAAGCATTGACTTTATGTCACAAATAAAACTGAAATAAATTTAAAAATGTATAAATAGGGGCGCCTGGGTGGCTCAGTCGGTTGAGCATCCGACTTCGGCTCAGGTCATGATCTCATGGTCCGTGAGTTCGAGCCCCGCATCAGGCTCTGTGCTGACCGCTCAGAGCCTGGAGCCTGTTTCGGATTCTGTGTCTCCCTCTCTCTCTCTGACCCTCCCCCGTTCATGCTCTGTCTCTCTCTGTCTCAAAATTAAATAAACGTTAAAAAAAAATGTATAAATAGTATAGAGAAGTGCTACTCAAGTAGCCATCCTTGAGCTGTTTGTTACTGGTCTACAGCCAGGTAAGAAACTCACGCCGGAATGTAAATCAGTGCACTAGCTTCTTCACTGAGGGAGTCTTGCTGTGGGGGAAAAAAGTCCACTGAATTAAAACAGTGACATAGTTGACTTACGTTCCAGTAACCAACAGTGCTGGACTACACTTTGGGTAGCATGGTGCAGACAGACCACATTCTCTGATGACCATTAAAGTAGAAGTTAGTGGGAAAAAATTTCAACTCTCTGCCCACCTGGATATTTTATACCTTTCTTAAATAACTCAGGTTAAAGGAAAACTCAAATCACATACCTAAGGACAATGATGACCTATGTATCAGAACCTACAGGATGTGACTAAAACTTGCTGTCAGCTAGAAAATGAAAGTCCCAATTGCCATGTATTTTTTCCTTTCTTTCTTTCCCTTTATGTTTGTCTCTTCCTCTGCTACCTCTAGACTGCTTCTTTCTGCTTTTATTTAACTCCACTTCTGGGGAAAATTCTATGGGCAGGAAGTTTTATTTCTCAGTTTTGCTGCTTTTTCTTTAAAGATTTAAAGATTGAATGTCTCCAGGAGAGTCAAGAGTTGAATTTGCAAAAATTAAGGAATTCAGAACTCATACTTACTGAAGCCAAACAGAAAATGAGAGAACTTACAATTAACATCAAGATGAAGGAAGATCTAATTAAAGAATTAATAAAAACAGGTAATAATGTCCTGTGAACCAGCTTATATAAGAAAGGCGTCTAAAATTGCTTTTTTTTTTTAATTTTTAACGTTTATTTATTTTTGAGACAGAGACAGAGCATGAACGGGGGAGGGTCAGAGAGAGAGGAAGACACAGAATCTGAAGCAGGCTCCAGGCTCTGAGCTGTCAGCACACAGCCCAAAGCGGGGCTCGAACTCACGGACCGCGAGATCATGACCTGAGCCGAAGTCAGATGCTTAGGCGACTGAGCCACCCAGGCGCCCCTAAAATTGCTTCTGATGTTGCAACATTTACTTTAGTTTTTGACACTGAGGACTATCCACTGTAGCTTAGAATTTGGTATAACAAGGTGTGTTTCATAGCCAGTAGGTGGAGGTTAGTTACCAGAAGAACATGGTTACATTGGGATTTCATCTGCGAATTGAGAGAATTCTGTGGACTTTGTATCGTGTTGCAAGTCTATGGGCATTTAATGTTTTTTGCCACTTTTTAAGAAACATTATACTAGGTACCTGGGAATATGTCTAAGATGTTTTCTAACCCACTTTAATACTTATTTTAAATTATTAGTCCTCATTCTCTTGGATAGTTCATTTTTAACGTTATTTATAAACTTTATATTAAAAAATTTTTTTTTAACTTTTATTTCTGAGAGACAGAGGCAAAACACGAGCAGGGGAGGGGCGGAGAGAGCGAGGTACAGAATCTGAAGCAGGCTCCAAGCTCTGAGCTTTCAGCACAGAGCCCGACATGGGGCCCACAAACCATGAGATAGATCATGACCTGAGCCGAAGTCGGACGCTTAACCAACTGAGCCACCCAGGCACCCCTAAACTTTATATTTTAAATGTAGATAATTTTTATTTCTCTCAAGATGTAAGGATGTATTCTTGAGAGCTATTCTCTCAGTGAGCCAAGCTTTTAGCTCTTCCCCTTAGTCTCAGATTCTGCCTGGTTGGGCATATGTCCCACATCCTCCCCTCACCCTTAGCTACGTTATCAGGCTTGCCTCGGAAAGCACATCTCAGGCTCCCCCCCCCCCCCCAATAGACTCAGAGTGTGAGCTTTGACTGCTTTGAAATTCAGTAAGGAACTGAAGGGATAAGAGTTTTTTCTCAGTTCCAATGAACATTGGTCCCATTTAAAGGAACTGAAGGAAATACCATCTTCCTTTTCCTTAAGCCAAGGCGGTAATTACCCTCAGATTACATGAATTATGGTGGCTCCTAGGGCAACTCGCCTTCCCACTTCCCTCCTCTTTCTGATGAGCTTGTTTTCTGTCTGGCTGGCGTCTCTCATCCTCCACTCCATAACTGCTGTGCCAAAGTGTTTTCCTTCCTCAGTCCTAGTGACGAATGTGCTATATACCGTTCCAGGCCTAGGTGTCCCAGATGGGTTTTTTGTTTTTTTATTTTTTATTTTGTTTAATGTTTATTTATTTTCAAGAGAGAGAGCGAGTGAGCAGGGGAGGGGCAGAGAGAGAGGGAGACACAGAATCCAAAACAGGATCCAGGCTCTGAGCTGTCAGCACAGAGCCCGACGCGGGGCTTGAACTCAGGAACAGCAAGATGATGACCTGAGCCGAAATCTGATGCTTAATCGACTGAGCCACCCAGACGGGGTCCCAGATGTTTAATTGAGCTTGACTATGTTCCTTCCTCATAGGCAGGATCGATGCCAGTACATCTCTCATAGGAATGTCTAGGAACTGATTTAGGATTAAAAAATTTTTTTTTCATGTTTGTTTATTTTTGAGAGAGAGAGAAAGAGAGAGCATGAGCAGGAGAGAGAGAGAGACACAGAATCTGAAGCAGGCTGCAGACTCTGAGCTATCAGCACAGAGCCCCACGCGGGGCTCAAACTCACAAACCATGAGATCCTGACCTGAGCCGAAGTCAGACACTCAACCCACTGAGCCTCCCAGGCGCCCCTGATTTAGGGGTTTAAATAGCTTCTCCATCAGGGTACTGCCTGTGAAAGTTAAGGATATGTACCTTCTGGAATAAATGATTTTTAGATAGGTCACACCATCATAAGATCTCTCACTAAATGAGCACGCTCTTGTAGCCCAGTATGTTCATCCTGGTTGCCTCAAAATAGAGGCTACATGAATGTACACAGAGAAGGTCCTCTTCTTACTTATGAGAACCAAGGGCAGTTTGGAGCTGTCCTTAGGGATGGTGAAGAGAAAAAGGGTCAACGTGTGCTTGCTTTTCAAATCCTCCTCACCGAAGACTTCCCCCCAGTAGCAACTATTTCAGCCAACAATAAGTGACAACTATACTGTATTTCATCAATTCTAATCACATTCTTTCACATTTGAATGTCTCTGAAATCAGGATGCACCGTTACCATCAGTGGCACCCTGGCATTTTACCATGTAACTGGTATAATGGGCACTGTACCTTTTTCCTCAGTGACTCATAAAATATTGGTGTGTTGAGCAATATATGGGGTCTTTAATTAAAATATAGTAGTCATATGCATTTTAATATTAGTCAAATAATCAGAGAGTTATAGAGACAGAAGAAAACTCGTAGTGCATTTAGTTCAGTAACTCCTTTTTACTAATAAAAATTAGAGATTTTCAGTGTAGCAGAACAAACTGGCCCTGATAATTATTCATCCCATGAGCTTTGGACTCAGTTTTCCATTGCCATGGGTTTGCTAGTCTAGTTCAAGGATAAGTTGACTACTCAGAACAGATTAAAACCAAATTTTTAGGGCCTAGTAGCTTAGAATGAAGAGAGATACAGAAATATCTATATTCTTTTTCCTCTCTGTTCCAAGTATAAGAAAAGCATTGAAAAAGAATTCATCTTTAACAAGTTTAGTTGAGTGGAAAAGGAGGGGGCCAGCTCTAGAATGAAAGTTTCATAACAGACATAACAATCAAATGTATTGTGGGCCTTTTTGGATGGCGATTAAAATAAACCACTTGTAAAAGACATTTTGAGACAATTGTGGAAGTCTGAATAGATTCAGGTAGGGATTAATATTGTTAGGTGTGAAAGAAGTTTTGGATATGTCTGTGTTTGATATAGATGCATTGAAGTATGTATAGGTAAGATGACATTTTTTTTTTTTAATGTTTACTTTTGAGAGAGGCAGAGCATGTGTGGGGGAGGGGCAGAGAGAGAGGGAGACACAGAATCTGAAGCAGACTCCAGGCCCTGAGCTGTCAGCACAGAACCCAATGTGTGGGGCTCAAACCCACGAACCATGAGATCATGACCTGAGCCACCGAGGCGCCCCTGGCTTTTTTTTAGAGAGAGAGCATGTGTATGAGTGGAAGAGGGGCAGTGAGAGAGGACAGAGGATCCAAAGTGGGCACAGTGCTGATAGCAGCGAGCCCGATGTGGAGCTTGAACTCATGAACCATGAGATCATGACTTGAGCCGAGGTTGGACGTTTAACTGACTGAGCCACCTAGGCGCCCCTGCTTTATAATTCTTAAGCAAATAAAAACAGAAGAAAGACATAGATAAAGCAACTATGGCAAAATCTTAATAACTCTTGAATCTCAGTGATGGGGGGTTCATCATTCATCATATTAGTTTTCTACTTTTGATATGTTGGGAATTTCTCATACTAGGAAAAAAAAAGATTTAAAGGTAGCAAGAAACCAAAGTGTAGTTAGCAAAAAGCCAGAGTCACCCCAAATATTTTCTTACCTGGAGTTTGATGCCCGCAAAGCTACACTGCAAATTCAGAACATCAGAAATGTCACACACACACAAAGATGAACCTGTGACGGAATGGCACCAGACAGGAACAGCCATTGAGCAACTAATTATTAAGAGGCCAGGTGGCAAGTTGTGTTTGATGGAGATGGGTGGGGACAGCTGGATACGTAATGCTCTGCCTTAAATAGATATACTGCCCAGCAGGATTTTGAAGAATAGAGCATTTTAAAGATTTTGCTATTTTACTTGGCTGTTTTTTTTTTTTTAACATGCTTTCTAATTGTTATCACTGTGGTGAAGGTAACCATGCCAAGTCTGTAAGCAAACAGTATTCTCTGAAAGTAACAAAACTTGAGCACGAAGCAGAACAGGCAAAAGTGGAATTAACTGAAACAGAGAAGCAGCTGCAGGAACTAGAAAACAAAGATCTTTCTGATATCGCCCTGAAGGTAAAATTACAGAAGGAGTTCCGCAAAAAGATGGACGCCGCAAAGCTAAGAGTCCAGGTAATTTAAAAAACGTGATTGAGCAAACTTCCTTAGGGGTTTACTGCTTGTGTACCTGGTTAGGAAAGAAGTAGGATTCAGTTTTTCCTAGCAGGAGGAACTGGATGGCAGCTTTTCTTTTCCGGTATGCTGGCAGATTTGCCTGCTTTCTACCTGGGTACTACACCCTTTGTTTGAAAGGTGTACTATTTTAAACTTTTTGTCAAAAACCATGGTAAGAAATAAAGATAACCACAGAAGTTGTGTTCTTTTCTGAAGGATAAAAGATTGATGATTAAGGAATATATATAAAACATCTGGGATGTATATGGCATTTTGTAGACATGCCACAAATGCTAATTATTTCAGATAGTTTTCTGAAACCATAACTGATTGCTTTACGAAAGGTTAGTAATTGACTCCTACATCTCATCCTTGATTTCCTAATGCCGGATTTAGCTATTGCCTCAGAAGTGGCTACCGTTAAAAGTTGTATTCTATGAGAAATATTCCATTACAGAAAGATTTTGTGTATAATGAAGCCGTCTTCAGATGCTTTTGGGATGACCAGAGTGCTTTGTTAGTGTGATTATAATGAATCTGCTAGAATGTTGTCTCCATTTTTTTTTCATTCATAATCTATTTACTTTAATGTTTCCACTGTAGGTAGAATGGAATTGTCATTCACCTATTCAGAGCATTATTTATTTATTTTTGAAACTGTGCCACAATTGTTCTCTCAACAAGGGCTGTGTTCATTGCATACGAACAGACCAAAAACCAAATCCCTCCTCCTAGGGTTTTATGGTTTTAAAAAAATTTTTTGGTTTTGTTTTGAGAGAGAGAGCGTGAGCGGGGGAGAGGGGCAGAGGGAGAGAGAAAGAGAGAATTTTAGGCGGGCTCCACACTTAGTGCAGAGCCTGACACAGGGGCTTGGTCCTATGACTCTGGGATGATGACCTGAGCTGAAATCAAGAGTCTGCCACTCAACTGACTGAGCCCCCTAGGAACCCCCCTTCTAGGGTTTTTAATGCCACCTCCAACATCTGGCCATCCCCACTAAAATGTTTAGCTAAGTAGCCTCTCAACACAAAGTTAAAATAGTATGACTTAACGTGTGAACTACTTAGAGGAGGGCTACTTTCCTTCACCGAATTGTTTTCAGAATACATATTTCCATTTAGCAGTTCACCTCAGAGAGTCTTGGGATCTGTTCTTTTTCACTTCTTGACCCTTAAAATTAAGGCTGCGATGTCTAACAAAATACTCCTTTTAACAAAATATTAGTAGAACAAAACAGTTAAGATTTTTCCTTTGTGTTTATTATGAAATTTTACTTATAATTTCATAGTTTTATATCCAAGCTTCAGTTCTGACTGTAATTCTTATACTCAATAATAGTCAGAATGATTGGTTTCAAAAGGAGTAGTTTATCATATACATGTATGGTTTAAGCCTTGTTTGTGGATTTAGCAAAGATTATATGTTCAGTTTCACACAGGTAAATTGATTGAATTAAAAGATTAAGTGAAAGGTTAGAGAGTGCAAGTAGGGGAGAAGAGAAGGGAAGGGGGGGGGAGAGAGAGAGAGAGAGACAGAATCCCAAGCAGGCTCTGCGTTGTCAGCACAGAGCCTGATTCAGGGCTCAATTCCACAAACCATGAGATCATGACCTGAGCCGAAATCAAGAGCACTTAACCGACTGAGCCACTCAGATGCCTCTAAGTGAAAGGCTATTAACAGGGTTTGCGAATTATCATGTTTTTTGTTTTCCGTGTTTCTTGTTGCATATTCTTTTCTGCTAAGAGGACTGATAAGGAAAGGAAAGAAGACACAGAACACAGTTAAGCTCGAAAGAAATATCCCATATAGCCGAGGACTGAAACGGGATTCCCATGTAGTTTTAGAAATGTCTGGGCTTTTGACCTATTCATGTACACCCAGTGGGGATGGGGACAATAAAGATGATGAGGATGGTGGTGGGGATGGGAGGAGGATGATAGTTACCAGCTTCTAAGTGTCTACATACCAGATGTTTCACAAGTATTATTTAATCATTATTTAACCCTTTAGAGTGAATATTTTTACCCTGTTTTACAAATGAGGGAACTAAGTTGTAAAAAGGTAGAATAGCTCAAGAATCTCATAGTGGAGGTGACATTAACAGTTTTCAGTATGCTAACATCTCATGCCATTTTTATTTAATTAATTATTATTATTTTTAATGCTTATTTATTTTGAGAGAGAGAAAGAGCACAGGCAGGGGAGGAGCAGAGCGAGAGGGAAAGAGAGAATCCCAAGCAGGCTCCGTGCTGTCAGAGTAGAGCCCAATGTGGGGCTCGATCTCACGAACCATGAGACCATGACCTCAACCAAAATCAAAAGTCAGATGCTTAACCAACGGCCACCCAAGCACCCCTCATACCATTTTTAAATGTTGAAATACTAGTGTTTTTATTAGTATTATAAAGTTATTTCAGTTTTTAAAACTTAAATTGTTTTAATTTAAAAAATCTAAAATCTGTTTTTTTTTAAATTTTTATTTATTTATTTTGAGAGAAAGAGAGGGGCAGAGAGAGAGTGAGAGAGAGAATCCCTATGCTGTCAGCACAGAGCCCGACACAGGGCTTGGTGTCATAAACCGTGAGATCATGACCTGAGCTGAAATCAAGAGTTGTATGCTTCACTGACTGAGCCACCCGGGTGCCCCTAAAATCTGTATTCTTATGTCAAAATATATACAGAGACCTATATGATGCATTAATTCTTTAATACTAATAGCATTAAAGGTGCACTTTTGAGCATGTGTGGAATAAATACAAAAGATGACGGCAACCTATCTTACTTTTAAATAAGATTATCAGTACCTATACCTTCAGTATTATGTGGAAAGACACCAAACTGCTAATATTATCATTTTTGCTGCAGTATTGCAATTACTATCAAAAGTAAGTGTGGCAAAGCCACTGTCCAGATTTAGGGATAGGAAACTACAGAGTCTGTGGTCTCCAAGCTGGTGGTACTCACAGTAGTTTGTCTGCAGATTGTTTTTGGTCTCTGACGAGATAAAGGCAAATGGGAGCATAGCTCCCTTTATCAAAGAAGTCTTAACGTATGGGGCGCCTGGGTGGCTCCATCGGTTAAGCATCCGACTTCGGCTCAGGTCGTGATCTCACAGCCCGTGAGTTTGAGCCCACGTCAGGCTCCGTGCTGACAGCTCAGAGCCTGGAGCCTGCTTTGAATTCTGTGTCTCCCTCTCTTTCTGCTCTTTTCTGACTCTCTCTCTCTCTCTCTCAAAAATAAATAAACATTAAAACATTTTTTTTAATAATAAATGTTATGTATTTGGAAAAAAAAAGGCTTGACGTAAACAGCGTCAGCTGAATCCGATAGCATGCTTAGCGGTGCAGGCTAACAACGAGACTGGGACTAGTACTGGTTCACAGACTACAGTTTTCGTAGCGCTGTAAGTTACAGTGCCTCTGTGAATACGTAGTTGAGTTTAAACAAAATATGTTTTTGCCGACAACTTACTGCCAAAATAAAGGGAACAATTAATTGTAGTTTGCATAATTTACAAATGACCTCACTTTAACTTTTTTATGTAACGTAACACGTACTTAGTGCAATGCTAAGACACATAATACACGTTTAACATGTTTGCTCAGGAGTAAATTGGAACACTGATATTTTATATTAGTATAAACTCTTAGTAAATGTTCAACATTTTTTATGCTATTCAATTATATTTGAGCTAGATGAGGAGAAGCTTTATTAATTAATTAATTAATTAATTCAAATAATTAAACTGGTAATTATAACAGTTGGTCACTGTCCGGGAAAACGGTATCTGTACTGATCATCTTAACTCCAGGATTAATTATTTAGGCTATAGCTGGTTATAAAAGAAGAGCACAGTGGACTACTTTGCAATCACATAAAGAGAACAGATCTCTGTGAGATGATCTCTAAGATAAGTGGAAAAAAAGGAAGGTGAAAATCAGTCTGTTTAGAATATATCTGAATTCATTTGCATGCATATAAATTATTTCTGAAAGAATATTTAGGAAATTGGTAATTTTGTGTCGGGAGCAGGACAGTAGATTTCGGGTCAGAGATAAGTCTTTAAATATATAGTTCAGTTTTATATTCTTTTAATTTTTATCATTTTTAAACTAAAACACACAGTAAAAAAGCAGAGACATCAAATTTGTTCTGTTTGGCTGTCTGTATCAGGGAGTCTCATCATTCTCTGTATCTGGTGAAAATTATGATGGTGGCCCAATTGTAAAAGTAGACATGTAGAAAACAATTATGAACCTATCAAAAGTAACGAAAATCTAGGCAAATGCCTACCTTCGCCATAGAATGAAAAGTTTAAGTTTACTTGAGGTCTGTGGGAGATTCAGCTTTTCACTTTGAAATATTCCATATGCTCACAGGTCTTACAGAAGAAGCAACAAAATAGTAAGAAATTGGCATCATTGTCAATCCAAAATGAGAAACGTGCTAATGAACTAGAGCAGAATGTAGATCACATGAAACATCAAAAGGTACAGCTGCAAAAGAGACTTCGAGAAGAAAATGAAAAAAGGAAGCAACTGGATGCAGAAATTCAGCGGGATCAACAAAAAATCAAAGTAATATTGTCATACTTTCCTGCAAGCATAAGTATGAAATGTTAAATGGCTCAGGGCTGATGAAGCCACTTGGCTTCTGAGGTATCTGACCTTGCCCTTTCCTTGGCTGCTGTCCTCATTCACTTAATGCTTGGTTCATTTACATAGTAAAACCTTTTTATTGAATTCTGAGTACTGTCTTGAAGGCTTTCACTTCATAGAAGAAGGTAGGTACAGTGATAACAGTTTCTCTGACTAGGACCTTTACTTTACTTGAGGCCGTCAAAAACATAAAGCTGACTTTCTAAAAAAATACCTGACATTTGATAGGATTTCCCATCTCCAAAGTGCTTTCACCTCCATGTGACATCATGGGAAAAAGCACAAGGTAAAATAGTACCATTTCATTCATAATGAACAGAAGAGTGATCAGACCTGTATGCCCAGCAGTTCTATAGAATGGATTGGGCTGTGGAGGAACTAATGGTGTCAGCCTGGGCTCTGGGGCCAGGCCAGCATGGGTTCAAATCCCAGCCTTCTCGGTTCCTGGCTGGATTATTTATTGAGAAAATCACTTACCCTCTCTGAGTCTGTTTATACTTATCAAAAATGGCCTCAATCATACTTACCTCACAGGACTTTTTTGACAAAGAGGAGGAGGATCATGATCATAGCAACAGCAATAACAAATACTCATCTAGCATTAGGTACCGGGCTCTTTTCTATTGAAATGTTAAGCTGAACCCAAGACTTGGAACATAATTTAAGTCAAGTTACTGATTCTTTTTTTTTAACAGCTGTACTGAGATATACTTCACATACCATACAATTCTCCCACGTAAAATAAACAATTCAGTGGGTTTGGGTATATTACATTATTAATTTTTATAAGGTTTGGCAAAATAGACATGAAATTTATTATTTTAATCAAGTTAAGTGTACAGTTAGTTCCATGACACTGATTACATTCATAATGTTGTATAACTGAGACCACTAGCTGTTTTCAAAACTTTTCTCCTCTTTCCCCCAGTGCCCTGGTAACCTCTCATCTGCTTCTGTCTCTCTAAATTTGCCTGTTCTAGCTATTTCATAAAAATGGAATCATACAAGATTTAGCCTGTGTCTAGCTTATTTCACTTTTCATAATGTTTTCAAGGTTCATCCGTGTTGTAGCATGTATCAGAACTTCATTATTTTTTGTGGCCAAGTAGTATTCTGTTTTGTGGACATACCACATTTTGTCCATCCGTTCATCTGTTGGTAGACACTTGAGTTGCTTCCACCTGTTGGCTACTGTGAATCATACTGTGGTAAAAATCGACCTGTAAGTTAACTGTTTAAGTTTGAGGAGTGGAATTGCTGGGTCATATGATAATTCCATGTTTCATTTTTTCAGGAACCACCATTTTCAATAGTGACAACACCATTTTCCATTTCCACCAGCAATGTGTGAGGGTTTTAATTTCTCTGTATCTTTGCCAACATGTGTTATTTTCTGTTTCTTTTTTATTATAGTTATCCAAGTGTGAGTGAAGTGGTATCTCATTGTAGTTTTGATTTGCATTTCCCTAATGACTAATGATGTTGAGCATCTTTTCATGTTCTTATTGGCCATTTGTATAACTTGTGTGGAGAAATGTCTATTCAAGTTCTTTGTCTACTTTAAAAAAATTTTTTTTTAATGTTTACTTATTTTTTGAGAATGACAGAGTGTGAGCAGGGAAGGGGCAGAGAGAGGGGGAAACACAGAATCCGAAGCAGGCTTCAGGCTCTGAGCTGTCAGCACAGAGCCCGATGCGGGCCCGACGCAGGGCTTGAACTCACAGACCGTGAGATCATGACCTGAGCTGAAGTCGGCCGCGCAGCTGACCGAGCCATTCAAACGCCCCATTCTTTGTCTACTTTTTATTTTATTTTTAATTTTTTTTTAACGTTTATTTATTTTTGAGACAGAGAGAGACACAGCATGAATGGGGGAGGGGCAGAGAGAGAGGGAGACACAGAATCGGAAGCAGGCTCCAGGCTCTGAGCCATCAGCCCGGAGCCCGACATGAGTCTCGAACTCGTGGACCGCGAGATCGTGACCTGAGCTCAAGTCGGACGCTTAACCGACTGAGCCACCCAGGCGCCCCTTTGTCTACTTTTTAAATGGATTATCTTTTTATTTTTAACTTGTAGGAGTTTGTTTATGTACTCTGGACATTAAACTCTCTCACATACATGACTTTTATAAATTTTTCCCATTCTGTAGGTTGTCTTTAAACTTTTTTTTTTTTTAAACAGCAGGTGAATTCCTGTCTGCAAGATTTGCAAGATAAAAAAAAAAAATTTGTTTATTTATTTTTGAGAGGGAGACAGAGCGTGAGTTGGGGAGGAGCAGAGAGAGAGAGAGGGAGACACAGAATCTGACGCAGGATCCAGGCTCTGAGCTCTAAGCACAGAGCCCGATGTGGGGCTCAAACTCATGAACTGTGAGATCATGACCTGAGCTGAAGTCAGACTGACTGAGCCACCCAGGTTCCCCTAGACTTTCTTGAAAATAGTTTTTGAGGGGTGCCTGGGTGGCTCAGTCAGTTGAGCGTCCTACTTCGGCTCAGGTCATGACCTCGCGGTCCGTGACTTGAGGGGACGTGAGCCCTGCGTCAGGCCCTGTGCTGACAGCTCGGAGCCTGGAGCCTGCTTCGGATTCTGTGTCTCCCTCTCTCTCTGCCCCTCTCCTGCTCATGCTCTGTCTCTCTCACTCTCAAAAATGAATAAATGTTAAAAAAAAAGAAAATAGTTTTTGATGCAGCAGAATTTTAAATTTTTTATGAAGTCCATTTTATGTTTTCTTTTGTTGCTTGTGCTTTTGGTATCCTTTAAAGATTCTATTGCCAAATCTAAAGTCACAAAGATTTACCCCCTTTGTTTTCTTCTAAGAGTTTTATGGTTTTAGTTTTTATACTTAAGTCATTGATTGATTTTGAGTTAATTTTTGTATATAGTGCGAGGTAGAGGTCCAACTTCATTCTTTTGCATTGTGGAAATTGAGTTGTGCCACCATCATCTGTTGAAGAGACTATTTTTTCCCCATTGAATGGACTTGGTACCCTTGTCAAAGATCAATCGACTGTATTATGGAAATATTTCTTAGCTCAGTTCTATTTCATTTGTGTATATGTCTGTTCTTATGCTAGTACCATACTATTTTTACTACTGTAGCTTTGTAGTAAGTTTTGAAATTGGAAAGAAATCCTTCAGCTTTGTTGTCCTTTTTGAAGATTGTTTTGGTTATTTGAGGCCCCTTGCAATTCTATATGAATTAAAGAATCACCCTTTCCATTTCTGCAAAAAAGGCCATTGGAATTTTAATATGGATCAGGCTGAATCTGTAGAGTCCTTAGGGAATACTGACACCACAGGACAATATTAAGGCTTCCTATTCATGAACATGGGGTGTCTTTTATTTAGGTCTTCTTTAATTTCTAATTTTTTAAAATGTTTTATTTACTTTTAAGACAGAGAGAGACAGAGCATGAGTGGGGATGGGGCAGAGAGAGAGTGAGACACAGAATCTGAAGCAGGATCCAGGCTCTGAGCTGTGAGCACAGAGCCCGACACGGGGCTTGAACTCAGGAACTGTGAGATCATGACCTGAGCTGAAGTTGGATTCTTAACCAACTGAGCCCCGCTTCTTTAATTCCTGTCAGCAGTCCTTTCTGATTTTCGTTATACAAGTCTTTTACCTCCTTGCTTAAATTTATTTCCAGATATTTTATTCTTTTAGATATTATTGTAAATGGAATTACTTTCTTAATTTCTTTGAAGTACTCAGTCTTAATAATGTAATTATTATAGCAGTAGTTAACATTTATCTTCAGTTAATACTATTCTAAGCAGTATGTGCTTTATCTCGTTTCTTTTTTTCTTCCATCTTTTCAACTTTTTCTTTTCTCCTGAATTCTTTCTTTTTTTTTTAATTTTTTTTTAACTTTTATTTATTTTTGAGACAGAGCATAAATGGGGGGAGGGTCAGAGAGAGAAGGAGACACAGAATCTAAAACAGGCTCCAGGCACTGAACCATCAGCACAGAGCCTGACGCGGGGCTCGAACTCACGGATGGTGAGATCATGACCTGAGCTGAAGTCAGATGCTTAACCGACTGAGCCACCCAGTCGCCCCTCCTGGATTCTTTCTTTAAACATCTTTGGGGCGCCTGGGTGGCTCAGTTGGTTAAGTGTCCGACTTCGTCTCAGGTCATGATCTCACGGTCCGTGAGTTTGAGCCCCATGTCGGGCTCTGTGCTGACAGCTCAGAGCCTGGAGCCTGCTTCAGATTCTGTGTCTCCCTCTCTCTGACCCTCCCCCATTCATTCTCTGTCTCTCTCTGTCTCAAAAATAAAAATAAACGTTAAAAAAGAACTAAACATCTTAGATTTTTCTTTTTTTATTTTTAATTTTATTATTTTAATGTACATCCAAATTAGTGAGCATATAGTGCAACAATGATTTCAGGAGTAGATTCCTTAATGCCTCTTACCCATTTAGCACGTTCCCCCTTCCACAACCCCTCCAGTAACCCTCTGTTTGTTCTCCATATTTAAGAGTCTCTTATGTTTTGTCCCCCTCCTGTTTTTACATTATTTTTGCTTCCCTTCCCTTGTGTTCATCTGTTCTGTGTCTTAAAGTCCTCATATGAGTGAAGTCATATGATATTTGTCTTTCTCTGACTGACTAATTTCGCTTAGCATAATACCCTCTAGCTCCATCCACGTAGTTGCAAATGGCAAGATTTCATTCTTTTTTATTGCAGAGTAATACTCCATTGTATATATATACCACATCTTTATCCATTCATCCATTGATGGACATTTGGGCTCTTTCCATACTTTGGCTATTGTTGATAGTGCTGCTATAAACATGGGGGTGCATGTGTCCCTTTGAAACAGCATACCTGTATCCCTTGGATAAATACCTAGTAGTGCAATTGCTGGGTCATAGGGTAGTTCTATTTTTAATTTTTTTGAGGAATCTCCATACTG